GATGGCCGGTATCGGGTCAGCCACAGGGGGTACTGCGATATTCCGCGGCTGCTGCAGACGGGCTATGAGGGCATCCGCGTCGCTGCGATGGCCAGCCGCCAGTGCCTCCTCTATCCAGCAGCGGCCACGCTGGGCATAGGCCCTGGCCCGTGCCATACGAATACCTTTTGCCCAACGTTCAACCCCGGCATCTTTCGCTCGACGCACCCGGTCGTCGTCTAAGATGAGCTTGACATCGTCGATATCGTTAGCCTCGTTTGCGACCTGATCCTCGGCGGGCATCAGGTTCTTGCCGTTGTAGTCGAGCAACACCGGCTGGCAAAAATATGCGGTCAGCGCCGCACTAACTCTACACGAACAGGAACAGTACTCACAGTCGCCAGGTTCTCCACCCAGACGAGCCATCGTTCGTGTTTTCATCTTCGCGCGCACTTCACGCACTCGTGGCAAGTCCGAAGCAAGAAACGCGAAGAAGGTCGCCCTGAGGCGTCCGATTAGCACCCGGCCATTGCGCTTGTACCCGGTGCATATGATGTCGTTGGCGGCTCCGGCACCCGGAATAAAGCCGTCGTCGTCGGGCTGAGGATCTTCCGGTTCGATGTACTTATGCTCTGTTATCTTCACGGCAATGAATAGCACAGGCCCCGCCTCGACCATTCCCTTTTGCGTCTACGCAACGTTAGTTCCAGCTGAATGCACGCGGGGGTCTCACTCACCTGATCGAGCATGTGGTCGATCCTCTCCGCATCCCCGATCTGGACGACAATAACGTCATCCGTTTTGAGGATCTTCCGCGGTGGTTGATTTCCCTCGGCGGGCTTGACGACGACGCTGTATTTGACGCACACGATACCGTCTGGTTGGTGGCGGGACACGGCGTCTTTGATCGCGCGGCTGTGATCAATGATTAGGGTTTGGTTGTCGTCGACGTCGATACGACCGTCTTGTGCCGCCTTGAGGATGGCGGCAGTGACCAGCTCATGGAGCGCCAGAGGCGCCATGACAGTGAGAGATTGCTGGGAGGGATTGTAGTAGAATCTGCGCGAAACGTTTAGGTGAGAACATGATAGGACGAGCCAGCAGGACTCACGAGAAATATTTGAGTATTTCCAGGTTGTTGTCGACGTATGAGCAAATGTCCGTCCAGAGTGCCTCGCTGACGTTGTGGCGAATCTGCGCAAATAATGAGTTGAGCTGGGGTGACTAACGAACGAAACACGGGCTGCTCACCATATGCTTACCAAACAAGACAGGGAAGTCGGGCTCTTGCAGCAACGGTCCGAAGACCTGTTCAGCCAGGGGCCAGCAAAGAATTACGTCTGCGACGTAGTGCCTGCGCGAGTCCCCTTCGTTCGAGGGTCCTTGAAGGTGGTGATCTATGTCGGGGATGTCCGTATCACGGTGCTGGACCTGGCGTGCGGGATGGAGAAGGGGGGAAGAAAACGTGTGCCCGCCAGGGGACGGCGGCGAAGATGATAGAGGCGCTACTGAACTGAATGGTTAGCGGTTGCATAGTGTCCTGCGCTGACAACATAGCCACGTACCGTCGGGGTATGCACTGAATGATCTCTCCGCTGTTGCGCGGGTCTCGACTCGGAGGGGTGACTTCTGGGCGGCGGGGTCAACGTAGTGCTCAGTGCGTCCCAAATCGTCGTCTCCGCTTGGGGACGCGATACGGGGGGAGTGCAAGCGGGTGTACTGCGAGGACGCCATGAGGATATGAGGAGGGGACGATTAGAGGACGATGAGATAGAATGTCGGTCGAAGACAGAACGTTATTATGTAAGGGACGAACCGGAACATAAGGCATCATCCATTGATACCGGGCGACGCGCCTCCAGCCCTCTCTGGCCCCGGGATATTAAACTTCTTCGACGAGTCTCTCACAGCCCTGTTCAAAGTTAGAACTTCGCATACGTACCAACCCGAACTCGACGCAGATGCTACAGACTCAAGGCAGACGCCACGGGGTTGCATGCGGCGGCATGGCAGACGAGCCCTCTCTGTGACGGTGTTTGGCCTCGGCCGGCCAACAGGTGGGCTGTATGCGACACTTGCCTTATACGGCCGATCGAACAGGCCGTTCGCCCGTCCAAATGAGGCAAGCCATCAAAATCAGCCTACCAAACGGCAAAAGTTCCGTACGAGAACAGTGCGTATGAGTGCCACTAGAGAAGAACTAAACGGCACTCACCTTCATGACCCAGGAATGAGATCCAAGGCAGAGCGCTGCCATGAGGTCTCACGTAGACCGCGCTGAACGCCGGCTGAAACGCTAGGCCGTCACCCTGGCAGAGTTCTGCTGAAGAAGAAACTCACCTGAACGAGGCTAAGGCGGTAGGAAAAGGCGTGTCAGAATACGGTGAAAATGTACAGAACAAGTGACGTACCGCGAAACCATTCGTACTGATTAAACAGTCTTGCGCTGGTCTTTGAACAACCCTGTAAGCGCTGTATGTGTCCAAGGACGTAAGCAAGCCCTGAGGATCTTGGGCGGCTGGCACGTCACCAAATTTGCCTCCGGAAGGGCTTGTTTAATTTGTTGACCACCGTTTTCTTCTACCTACTGTATCTGCATTGCGTTCACAATTGGGCGAAGTAGGTGAGTGTTAAATCAACGCGTCAGACTGGTGTTCGGTCCCTTACATCATGTACTTACCGCACGAAGATGAAGAAGACCATGGCCAAGAAACGTCGGTGCTTGGAAGACCTGCTGGCTCAAACATGTCGGGCTTGTGACGAGGAGTTTGATACCATGCAGGGTCTGATGGCTCATCAGTCTGCAAGTCGCAAATGTGCGTGGTATAAGAAGGGCAAGTTGAAGGCAGTCTTTGCAGATGTTGCTGAGGACGAACCGCCGTCGGAGAAGAGAAATAGCGGTATAAATCGAAGTGCTATGTACGTATTCAGTCTGCGGTATACGCCTACAATAGCTGAATGTTTTAAAGGGAAACAAGACCCGCAACTCCCGCTGCCGTGATGAACCTGCCCAGCGACAGAGGTGAAGGATCGTCAACGGGTTCTGATTCGCAGCCAGGACACGAAGATGCTGAGAGTAGCGACGAAGAAGAGGATTTGATGTTCGTGCCATTACCAGTTCCCAGTTCCTCAGGCTGCAATCCGCCTTGCGAAGCATCGTCTTCCGGCAGTCGGATTCGACAATCCGCGATACAACTTGATGACGACGAAGACACACGAGTTGAGGACGTCGACAAGACTGCAGGACGTGTTGTCGGAGAGGGACGTACTATGATGGATGCATGGAAGAGGCACTTCGCGAAACAGAATGACCAAGATGCTGACTGCGGCGACCGGGAAGGTACGTGACCACACATCTTGTTACAGAAATGACAAGCTTACATTCTGCTGTAGACAATCGTTCTTTGTGGGAACCTTTTGACACCGAGATGGACTGGGAGGTGGCTTCGTGGTGCGTCAAAGAGGGCATCAGTCAAGGTGCCGTTGACCGGTTCCTCAACATACCCAACGTGAGTTTTCTGTGGTTCAGAACACCCCTCAGCTGTCTAATTCAAAACATAGGTACGAGAGAAACTAGGACTTTCTTACCACAATATGCGCTCGCTCCTCCAAAAGGTCGATTCCATACCGGAGAGATCGCCGTGGATGGAGCAATGGCTGACGTTCAAGGACCGACCGGGAGAAACTCATCTAGTGCAGTTTCGTGATATCATAGCTGCTATCAAAGCTCTCCTTGGAAACCCTGCGCACGCGGACCGCATCGTGTATCGCCCACGACGAATCTTCTCCAACACGAGCCGTAAGAACCGTATATATACCGAAATGTGGACAGGAAGGTGGTGGAATGCAGTGCAGGTGAGGCGTCCAGGGTTGTTGCTAGTTTCTATGCCCTACTCATTACTTTCTTACATTCAGAGTCTTCTACCTGACGGCGCAGCCCTAGCCCCGGTCATCATTTCGACCGATAAAACACAACTTACCCAGTTTTCCGGCAACAAGTCCGCCTACCCGGTCTACATGACCCTCGGCAACATCCCGAAGGCTCTGCGTCGGAAGCCTTCAGAGCACGCCTGTATCCTCATCGGCTACCTCTCAGTCGACAAGGTCGACTCTACGGGCCTCAGTGAGCGCAAGCATCGCGCGCTCGTCCACCAACTCTTCCACGCCTCCGTCAAGATCATCCTCGCGCCGCTCATCGAGGCCGGGAAGGAGGGAATTGATGTTACAGGGGGAGACGGGAAAATTCGGCGTGTTCATCCAGTGCTAGCGTCCTATGTTGCTGACTACCCGGAGCAGTGCCTGGTGACCTGCACCAAGTACGGCACTTGCTGCATCTGCCAGTGCCCGGAGCCCGCCCTTGGGGACGACACAGCGAAGACACCGCGCCGTCAAATCATGACCCTGGACGTCCTGCGGAAGGCAAAATCCCGGGACAAGAAGGGGTCATCCGCGTTCTACAACACATGCAAGGAGAACAATATCTCCGGCTACGTTGTCGACCCGTTCTGGAAGGACTTACCTTACACAGATATCCACAGCTGCATCACGCCAGACGTACTGCATCAATTGTATCAAGGTGTCTTCAAACACGTTATAGATTGGTGCAGCGAACTAATGGACGAATCCGAACTCGACCAACGAATTCGCTGCCTACCGCCTGCATACGGCACGCGCCATTTCAAGAATGGAATTTCCACCCTGTCTCAAGTGTCTGGTGGCGAACGCAAAGACATAGCACGCATCCTGCTCGGATGCCTTGTCGGACGCCTGCCTCACGCCGTCATCATCACGTTCCGAGCTCTCCTCGACTTCATCTACATTGCCCAGTACTCAACGCACGACGACACTACGCTGTCCTACCTGGAGGACGCACTAATGACTTACCACAAGCACAAGGCGATTCTGAAGACTCTCGGCATACGGGAACACCTCAACATACCGAAATTTCACTCCCTCCACCATTACATCGACTGTATTCGTAATCTGGGCACGACTGATAATTACAACACGGAACTTTTCGAACGCCTGCACATTGACTGCGCAAAGAAGGCCTGGCGAGCGTCCAACCATCGCGACGAGCGGCCTCAAATGACCAAGTGGCTCGAACGTCAGGAGAAGGTCGCCATGTACGAGACGCTTCGCCAGAGACTTCACGAAGAGCGCATCGAGCCGAACGCATCCCCTGATGTTACCGGAGCGCAGTCGCACCATCCTCAAGCCGGGCTAACACTGCCAAAACACCCATCCGTCTCGCAGCAATCAATTGCGTCCATTGCGGACAAGCATCAAGCTCCCGGGTTCGCAAGAGCTTTGAATCAACACATCTTCTCGTTGAAGCTTGGTCGCCCCCTTACCGCCGGCGAGGCTGAGAAGGCCGGCTCCTATCTCCCCTTCTCCCGCCTCGACATCTTTCACGGTTTCAAATTCACCACACTCCCCCTCACAGATGACAACCTGGACCGCGACGCGGTCAAGGCGAAGCCATCTTGTGGGTCAGAACCCGCAAGATTTGATACGGTTGTCGTATTGCGAGGCGAAGAGGCAGAGGCCACTGGTCTGCAAGGTATGTCAACAAACCTTTTTGACTTACGCTCTCTAATCCAGTCTTTCACCAGGGACTCGCATAGGGCGAGTCAAAACGATATTTAGGCTGCCCGAGAAAATCTACGAACATGGTACCGTATCAGAAATGCCGGCCCCAGAAGAATGGGCCCAGCAAGGGCCCCTGGCGTACGTTGAATGGTACGCGAAACTTCCTGCCGCTGCCGACCCTGTACACATGATGTACGACGTACGGAAGATGCCCCTTCGAACGGACGGCACACCGCCTGGAGATGTAGTACCGTTACGGATGATACGGCAGTCGTGTCAGTTGATTCCTCATTTCCCTATCCCCACTCGTACGAACTCACAGCCCAACGTTCCCAATGACTGGAGTCATCACAACGTACTCGACAAAGCGCATAGATTTTTATTGAACAACTGGGCCACTAAGTACGCATATCAGACTCTATGGTAGCCGCTTGTACTCTAACATACCTGTACATATTTTGAGCAATTCAGCGTCTTGACGCTAAGGATCACACATCGCCCTGCGACTCAGGTAATGCTAGCTATGAAACGAAGTATATTTCATTCTATTGAAGCAAGATATACAAATGTTGTAGACTAGTAGACTACAACGCGACTGGAGCTCACCATCAATCTTTGCTAGCAAACGTGTATGTATGTAGGACTACCTAGTAGCCGGATGAGTGAGCGTACGTTAGCATGCAGGCAAGCGGGCCAGCGAGCGGTCGAGCGGTCGAGCGGGCGAGTGAGAGGGTGAGCGGGCGTGCGGGCGTATGAGCGTGCGGGCGAATGAGCGTGCGGGCGAGTGGGCATGCGGATGGGCAGCCAGGGCAAGCGGTAGACAGATGGCCAGTAGAGTAGCCAGCCAAGAGGCGCAGTGCGCGGCGTGTGTGTTGAGGGAACCCGGCCGCGCTATGTACTGGCTTCTGGGCGAGGCGTGAGTTAAGGTCGTCTACGGTGCCGAGGAATTTTCTACATGTCGCGAAGATGTACTTACATGCTTTAGTATCCTTCTCCACATCGTCCTCCATCGTCTCAACCACGGTTTCCAGCGATGAGCGTACGAGAAGTGAGAGGGAAAGCGGCGGTAGGCGGCGGCAGCGGTAGGTGTAGTGGGCAAGGCGTGAGTCGAGGAGAGCCCTTATATTGTAGCAAAGATGTACTTACTTGCTCCAGTATCCTTCTCCGCATCCTCCTCCATCATGTCAACCACGGTTTCCGGCAATGCGCGTACGAGAGTGAGAAGGAAAGCGGCGGCGGCGGTAGGTGTAGCGGGCAAGGCGTGAGTCGAGGTTGTCCATGGCGTCGAGAGCCCTTATATCGTCGCAAAGATGTACTTACTTGCTCTAGTATCCTTCTCCGCATCCTCCTCCATCATGTCAACCACGGTTTCCGGCAATGCGCGTACGAGAGTGAGAAGGAAAGCGGCGGCGGCGGTAGGTGTAGCGGGCAAGGCGTGAGTCGAGGTTGTCCATGGCGTCGAGAGCCCTTATAACGTCGCAAAGATACACTTACCTGCTCTATTATCCTTCTCCGCATCCTTCTCCATCATTTCAACCTCAGTTTCCGGCGATGCGCGTACGAGAGCGAAAAGCAAAGCAGCATAGAGTAAGTGGAAGTGGAGGGACTCCCGAGAAGGAAAGCGCTGAGGCTCGGCCTTCGGGCTGTCGATCGTGATCGACTTTCAAGCCGAGCTTCGAGTTCTTACCGCAAACTCCGTGTCCTGCTCGAGGACAACCTCAACCTCCATCGCCGGTGCGTCACTTCCGCTCATTATAATCTCTAATTTTCCTATATCATCTACACTAGAAGATATGTCAGCAAACCACGCCCAGCCTCAGGCTGCGGACGACGACATTCAATATATCGGCTTCCAACGCGTCAACGTCAAGAAGAGCAAGTTCCATAGAACCGCACTGGAAGAAGACGGCCTTGTCTTTTGCGGCTATAAGAACACCAAAGACTACACAAATATCCCTCTGCCCACAACCCAGCGAAGTGCGCCAGGTCCGGTCGTCATCGACTTGGTCTCCTCGGACAGCGAAGACGAGAGCGCACCTAGCAGCACGGTGCCCAAAGTGAGTCCCTTCAATTTTATTATTATCATGGACTCATTTCAAATACTCGACAGTCTACAGCTGTGAAACACGCCGCTCGGGCAGAAGTCGTGGTCCCCGGTACCAGCAAACGGTGCAAGAAAGAAACCACGCACCAGGCAACGGACTCGAAGCACAACATGCAGTTGAGAACCCGAGGGAAGGCGGGACAGAGGGCATCCGAGACGGAGGGCAAAGGGGATGGTCGGCGGTCGGCTCATCCTGTTGCAGGGAGGTCGACGAGTCGCAGGCGGGGATGGTTGCCTAGCCAGTGAGCGAAGCATAGGATTTCATAATATTGAGTACGTCCAGAATCTACATGTTCATTTGCACTCTCCTTCACGCGCACCCTCGTACATATGTGTAAGCCCGACGGATAGGTCTCCTGGTAAGCGTAGATGAGGCCACGCAAGATGTGCAGACGGACGGTGTGTCTCGCGCCCACTGACCCGTTCTGCAGGACATGTCGACGCGCACAGCGAGACTCCCGGAGGACACTCCGACTAGCGCATGGACGAGCCACGGCGAAGGGACGATCGGGGGACGTGCCCCTGTCCTTGCTCGACAAGTCTACGTCCCCGCCATGCGTCCACTCGCCTGTGCCTCTGTCGCCCTCTTCGTGCCTATGTTCCTCGACCACTCTCGGAACCATTCATGAGGACAGCCTACAGGTGGGTACGTGCTCTGCGGAACTACCGCACGCCCGGTAACGACCCGTGCCACCTCTGTTATATTCATATACTGCATGGCCCTCGAGCTCCACGCCCTTGTCCACTCATTCCGCAGCATTCAGGTCACCAGAGTCTGATGTGGACGCCGCCAGCCGACACTCTACGCGCTCTGGTGGAGCTTCACGCAGCGCAAGTTCATCGAGAGCACGGGCGACGCCATGTTCTTCAAGAACATACGCGGCGAGGCCGTGCGGGGTTGCTCCGTTGCGGTCGCGGATGCCCATCGCACCGGGGAAGCGGGTGTTGTTAATGGTGCGAAGGGATCGACTGAGGCTGGATTCGAAGGCGTGCAGGACGAGGAGGGGGACGTGATGGCTGAATGGTGCGAGAGATGTGTTCGTACCTCGAGTGGCAACTCAACATCGAGCCAGCAGCGCTGAAGGAGTTCGAGGCGAATGTTCGGACGGACTCCAAGGGCCACGGGCCATACCCAACGTACGTGCTCCCCTCGCCTGCGCCGACACCAGTACCGTGGACGACGCCATACGGCCCCACGTCGACCACCACCCTGAGCTTCGCCGCACGTCCTGTCGCCACCGAAGCCCACCCCATGCCTGTCGACGCCAGCACGGTGTATCCGAGTCCGCCCACGAGCCCTGACACGCCCGACACGCCCGAGCAGTCTTACTCGACTTCGATGAGCCCGGCATTGTCTGCATCGCCGTCGACGCCACCAGGTATTGTCAACGCGAACAGCCGCATCGCCTCACACAGCACCCACGGGATGGCCCCACGCCATCGAGCAAGAGTCCGTCGCCGCCGTTGTGCTGCTGCCGATGCAGAAGCAAACGGGCCGGTCGAGGGCTCGCCGTCAATATCCGACACCATCTCGACTGACCGCACCTCGGCGACGAAGAAGGCGAAGGGCCAGGACTCAAGTATTCGCCGACGTCTCCATATGTCCCACCGTTGCCATATGGTGGTGTGCGCACCTCGCCCTACGCAACGTCACCATTCTACGACCAAGCCCATGGACCAACTTCGCCTACATACTTGCCGACGTCACCGGCGCTGAACCTCACATCGCCGGGATCATGTACGTCTGTTTCCCTGCGAACGTGAATTTGCTGAGCCAATTACGGGGGGCCGGATAGGCGGTTGCCGTACTCACCTGCTGGGCTAGCGGTTGCCCGGCCAAACTCACGCGCTGTTATGATCAACCCGCCGCAACGTGGATGGACGTCGGGCGTCGCGGTGTACGGATACTGAACAGACGGCATGCGTCAACGGGCGCACAGAGTGTGGATGCGGCGAGCGCTCTGGACTGCTTGGGAGGTGTGGCTCGTGCTCACAGAGCCTGAGACTGTTGCACGTCCAGAATCCCATGTCCGATTAGTTGCCGCGCACACGTTGTCGCTGAACTCTGCGGGGAACACTCACAGCAGAGTCTCCTAAGGACCGTGGCACCTCCAGAACATCATGGTCATCTGTTCGGTGAGTTGTCGATCCACTGGCAGATACACTACTACATGCGACTGGCTGATCTAACAGAACAGTACACAATACTACCACTCAGCTGGGCAGAGGACTCACCGACGCGTCCCGTCTGTGCGCTGACGGGTAGCCATCGCCCACGAAGGATGGAGGGTGGACATCAAGTGTGGCTGGATGGAGGCTGGGTAGAGTGTTGGACAGCCTCCGAGTTAATTTGAACGATATACGTCCAGACGAGTCGTCGCTGGTTCCATTGGTTCTGGACATGAAAACCCTGAGTTCACAGAGTACACTCATACTACTAGTAGAAGTACTATGTTTACGGCAATAGATAGCTTGAAATTAAGCGTACAAATAGAAACCCAACTATCTATGAATGATCAATGAAACACTTCAGAGATTAAAGAAAATTGACTGGCCAAATTTTGCTTGCCGGTCAGCTAATAAACTCTTGACAGGATGGTTAATCAAGCAGGCTATAGTTTGTCCAAGTATCTCAAGACCAATGCTGCCTTTGCAGCACATTCCAAGCGGTGAGCGTCTTTGCCAAGTAAACCAAGTTCTTTTGACTTGCCTTGTAGCTTGGCAAGTAAAACCGGTTTTTCCTGATGTAGCAAACTACAGACCGATCACACTTCTCAATACAGACTATAAGCTGTACACGAGGATATTAGCCACTCGCCTAGCCCCAGTAGCGTTAAAGATCATCCACCCCGACCAGGCCGGCTTCCTCCCAGGCCGCAGGATCACGGACCAAACACAGCTATGCCGGTCCATGATTGATTACGCGGAAGCCACGGAGGAAAACGGTCTGATAGTGGCTTTGGATCAGGAGAAGGCATACGACAAGATACGACATGACTACCTGTGGATGGTCCTTGAAATTTTCGGACTGCCCACTGAACTCATCAAGAGGTTAAAGAGCATATATGGATCAGCGTCGACACTGGTCATCATAAATGGTGAATGCAGTACCTATTTCCAAATAATACGTGGGGTGAGACAAGGCGACCCACTATCGTGCCTGCTCTTCGACCTCGCAATCGAACCCTTGGCCTGCCTCCTACGGCGATCCACCCTCAAGGGATTCTCCATCCCTGGACTAACAGAACGCCTGTTAGCATCCCTCTTCGCCGACGATACGTCCGCGTTCCTCTCACAAAACGACGTGTGGGAGCAACTCTGGCATATCCTCGAACGGTGGTGCGCGCTCTCCGGGGCCCGCTTCAACAGGGAGAAAACGGAGGTAATCCCGATAGGAACGGAGCAGTACCGAGCACAAGTAGTGGCGACCCATCGGATCAACCCTACTGTGACAGGGAACACCATACCAGAGCATATACATGTTGCGAAGGACCAGGAAGCGACGCGAGTACTGGGTGCCTGGATAGGAAACAAAGTGAATGAAGCCGCTGTCTGGGCCCCAGTAGTCCGGAAGGTGGAGACTTTCCTCGAGAGATGGGGACAGAGTCACCCGTCCTTCAAAGGGAAAAGGTACATCATTCAAATGGGCCCGGGAGGAATAACACAATACCTCACAACGGTACAGGGCATGCCAAAGTCTGTCGAAAAGTCTCTAAGTAAAACAATTAGAAACTTCGTCTGGGGCTCAGATGCCATACCTTCGGTGAACCAGGACACGCTACACCTTCCCATAGAAGATGGAGGCCTAGGCATTCTGGACCTAAAATCACGCAACGAAGCCATTGAGATAATGTGGCTCAAGCGCTACCTTACCCTCGGTACAGAGAGGCCCAGGTGGGCTTTCGTAGTGGACGCCGTTATGGCCATCCGTGTTACGAAAGATGCGGGAGCCATCCGGAGGAATGCGCAGGTGAATACCTTCCTCCAGGACTGGCACCCAGCGGGCCACGCGAACTCCCGCCTACCCGACTACCTGAAGCGAATGCTGAAGGTGGCAAAGCAACACAATGTCTCCTTTGCGGCGGTGACCCTGAGCAATGACGTGAAGGCAGGCCTTCCCGCCTGGTACCACATAGGCGCGGACAAACAGCTGCGAAGGCTGAATAATGCCCCTTTAAGTAACTGTCTGCGAGATGTACACGGCGTGAGCCTGGTAACAGACCTCGTGAAATTGGCACAACACGTCACCATCCTCACCGACGGCGGCGACGGTCCAAGTGAGTGTGAATGCATGGAATGCCGGACCAATCGTATACACGGATGTCATAATCCCGAGCGATGCTATGAGGCGGCCGGGAAGCTGCTCGGCCACCTAAGCGAAAAATGGAACCCGAGGACGGACACTGCCCCGGATGGCCTCACCCTCACGCATAGACGCCAGGAGAAAACGGAAAGGCCATCGAGAAAGGCGGACAGACCACTTTCGACCCTTCTTTGACGCTGAGGGGCGGAGTAGCGGAAGCTTTCCGCGCATTCGTGGCAATGCCGAATATAGCAAACCCACCAGCGATTAGACAACGTCGTGGACGAGTGGTGGAAGACGAAGCGCAGACGATCCTAGTCCTCGGCGCCCCGAAGGACGAGAACACCGAACCACCTGACGCAGAGGGGAGCGAAGACATTGGTTTCGTATATGTAGCGAGGAACAGCGAGCGAAACTCCCTGGTCCGAGCCCACCCATCAAGTGGAAGGAACGCGAGCCCATGGAGTGAACTAGTGGCCGCCCTGAAGGCGGCACAAGACGCCCCCCTGACACACCACTGCACTTTATAGGCGAGACAAACAGCCTGTCCGAATACCTCGTCCGTGACCTGCCGCGATGGGAGGACAGAGGCTGGATCGACGTGCCGAACAACGCACCGGCGAAGGCACTAGTCAATACCCTTCGCAAGCGCTGTGCTGTGACAACCTTCAGACAAGCAACCGGAGTGGGAGACATGCGTAGGCTGGAGCTTGCAAGACGTGAGGCGAAAACGCTGCGTCGGTCTGGAACGGCGCCCACCCCCGTGAACATGGAACTTGACCCGACCTTCGACCTGTCGGGGGCGAGACTAGACAAACTGACGCAAAAGCTCGCGTACCGCGGTATCATAGCCCGTAAGTGCGTGGCGCCCCGCAGACGGACGATCCAAAGTCTAGCAAATATTAGAGACGGGGTACTCACACTGCAAGGGAAGTTGATCGCAAACGAAGACATATGGCGGAGCCTGAGATGCCCTGACATTAGAAAGCCGATCAGCGACTTCCTGTGGAAGAGCGTCCATGGGGCACAAAAGTGTGGGAGTTATTGGGAGCATATACCTGGCTATGAGGAACGAAGCCGGTGCCAAACGTGTGGACAGCTGGACTCACTAGGACACATCCTCCTCGAATGCGAGGCAATCGGGTCGGCCACAATATGGAGCATGGCGAAAGCACTCTGGCAGAAGAAACAACTGACTTGGCCAGAGCTGAGCCTGGGTGACATACAGGGCCTGTGCCTGCGAAGGTGGACTGGCGCGAGAGGACAACGACGGAGACACGCAGAGCGATTTTGGAAGATCCTAATATCTGAGTCCGCCTTCCTGATCTGGAAGCTGCGTTGTGAGAGAGTTATCGGACACGCCGACGAAGATGACTGGGAACACACCGGTCAGGCAATCCGAGCCAGATGGACTAGGGCCATGAACGAAAGGCTACATCTTGATATGGTGCAGACGCACAGGCGATTCGGCCGGTCCGCAGTCAAAAAGGACAAGGTCCTGGGAACGTGGAATGGCACACTGTTTGATGAGCTGGCCTTACCGGAAGACTGGACTACATACAATAGGGTTTTAGTGGGTATTGACGCGACGCGTCTCGACATACGGGACGATGGTTGACGAGCCCCACACTGGCGAATACACGCCGTGCGTAAAAGCATTTTCTCCCTGGAATTATGCGCGCGGGGAAACCTGCTAGCAGGCCGGGTCACCGGGACTGACCGATTGTCAGGCTGCCGGAACCCATGATGGCCCTCCAAAAAAAAAAAAAAAAAAACAGTCCTGTCTCGCAGCACGAGGACGCGTCCATCACCCGTCCATCGCACGTCCGACTCACCACGGGCGCTCCGCCGCGGCTACCATTTTTCCGTGGCGCACGTTCACTCCTGCTTTCCGTTTCGCCTTCTTCTCCTTCAAAACCGTCCCCTCTGCCCTGTATGGCCGTATAGGGCCCCAACCAAATGGCCTCGACATCCTCGAAACGTCCGGGTGCGCCTGCGTCTATATGCTTGATGTGACCTCCAGTCAAGTTCGCAGTAGACGAGCCAGGATCATCCTCGCGACCCTCGACTCCCGTGCTACGCAACAGGCTTGCGTTCGTTCGCACCCAGGCACACCCAGTTCAGCATAACCGCCCCGTCGTGCGGCCACCGCCCATGCCTTACATCCAAAGCAACCGATCCAGGCGCCACATCAGTTCTATGACTGGTTCGCGTGCGTCGACCGCTCGGTCGCGCATAGCCAGGAGGTGCACTACGGCACACACCTGGAGAGTGTGTCGGAGCCCCGAGGCTGTAGACATGTGCGATCCGCTGTCAGAACACATCGACCCGGTCGACTCGGTGGTCGATGGAATGCTGAACGAGCGGCGGATGGTCGAGGAGGGTGGTGAGAGCCTCAAAGGACCTTGTGAACAGCTGTTCAAAGAGCGGGTACGTACTACCTCTGCGGAACTATTCACGTGTATCACTGACTCGCAACGGCAGGATTACCTACTCAGCATAACCGACGCCATCGACGTGAGACTGAGCTACTTCCAGGAGACATAAGGCGGTGTCATGCATTTCGGGCGCAACATTCTCTGCACGGATTCCACCAGCGGGCCTCCCTCCTCGACAGCGCAGTACCACGCACCTATGGAGACCTCTTCGGGTGAGTGAAAACGGTATGTGGCTCTGGATGATTCGTACGCTAAGCCATGGCTGACCATGATATTCTGGAGGTCCCGCAGCCTTCGCGACACGCGCTGTGAGTGTCTCCACTGGTTTGAGCAGTGATTCGGCCTCGCGGTGACTGTGCGCGACACACAGAGCCAATCATAAAGGGCGCGAACATGGTGCTGCCCCGTCGGCTGTCCCTCGTCCTGGACTGGGTAACACGCCCATCGAGACTTGGCACCGGTACGACAGACAGGTCCGTACGCGCTGCTCTTATCGGTGTGTCACCCGCTTTCCATGAGCATCAGTACCTCACCAACGTTTCGGGTCAGCTGTAGATGTCCATGACGTTCTGGATATACCATCTACATCGGAAGGCTTCTATAGGTATGTGACCTTCGACGTGGCCGGATCTGGCGCTGGCGTCTCTTTACGGGGGTGCTATCCTATCCCAGCATCCCCGGGCCATGTGTGCTGATTATTCAATCAAGTATCAGCCACAGTGAACGTCCCGCATGGGTAAGCATGTACGAAACGAGCAGGACGTTCACTCACACTGACCTATCTCGTAGCCACCGCGTCATTGCCCATTGGCGATTGTCGATTCGTCACTGCTCACGCCAGGGTAGCTCGCAGTGAGTTCAGACGACCTGACATGCACGGCCCCGAACTACGCTGACCACATTTGCCAGCGCGCGATCCTCTGACAGGTCAGCAAGTGGGCGCGACGGAGCTACTCCTACCGCAGCGCCCTAGCGGACATACCCAGCAGCGCCGTCCCCCGGGTCGACGTGGGCCCGCCCGCACAAGCCGTCGCAGGGCGCCGACGGCGATGTCGTGCCGTCGTCCAACGTTGAGCGCAAGCGCAAGCGGTTGGAGGGCCTCGTCATCCATCCGAGCGGGTTCGAGCCCTCCATGCCCGAGACAGGGTTCCATCCCGCAGTCGCGAAGAAGCCGACGGAGGACCACCCGCTCGTCGGCACGCCCAAGCAGCCCTGGGACGACCTCCCCGCGTCGGACGAGGTATCCCCTCGCCCGGACAATGGCGAGGGTGTCAAGCAGTTCACACGGAGGAAGTACATGCGCGACCAGGCGGAGTTGGACGCGGCGGAGGTGCTCACGAACACAGATGTCATCACGCACCCCGCGGGCACGCAGGCGGAGCCCTCGCTCGCGGCCGCGGTCTCGCAGCTCGGCCCCCAGGCGGCGTCGACTGGCGGGCAGCGTGGGCAGATCCCGGTGTCCTCGTGGGACACGCCCGAGCGCCAGACGGTGCTGATGCGCGGTCAGCGCGAGGAGAACACGCGGGGAGGGCGTCCTGATGTCAGAGCTGAGCGCGGGCATCCTGTCGGAGGGCCTCGCGGCGGACATGAGGGTGCGCGAGGAGAAGATACTGGTGGAGGTGAGGATCCCGGGCACAGCCCTGAGCCTGCGCGGGACGTGTCGCTCCCGCAGCCGCCGAGACAGGCTACTCGCCAGCAAGATGCCTTCAAGCTCGACGAGGATGGCGAGGTCGACGTCAACTCGGTGGGCAACACGGCCGCGGCCAACGCTGCTGTCCAGCAGGTGCGCGCGGAGTACCTCCCGACGCTGGCGGAGACGGCCTTCTGGCGGCCGCTCCTGAGTGTGACGCTGCAGACGCGCCCGCTCACGACGACCGTCGCCCGGCTCTCGCGCGCGTACGCCCGCGGGACGCCGTTCTACTCCACCGTCGACCCGCACGACCGTAAGTACGGCCCGTCGATGGGCGGGCGCGTCCGCAACATGCGCCTCAACCGCACGCACGAGCTCGTCGTCGACCTCGCGCGCCTGCTTCGTGGCGAGCGCGGCGGACCGCTGGGCATGCGGTGGAACCCGGAGTCGCTCGGACGGGGGATCAACGGCGAGGGCATGGCGGAGCCGATCCCGCTCGAGAAGTGGATGATCAAGGTCGGCCTGGGCGTGTGGTACCAGCGCGCGGAGGAGTGCAAGGCCATCTACGCGGAGGCGGCGCGTGAGGCGGAGGTAGACGACGCGATGGAGGTGTTCGGCGTAGACCAGCGCGGGGCGCGAAGAGAACACGCGCGACGATGTCGTGCCGACGTACTACATCGAGCGACGCGTGAGTTCTCGAGTCGTAGCGAGTGTCGGAGGAGCCACTTGTCCGCTGCATCCGATTGGTAACGAGCATGACAGCGGAGAACCCGTAAGCATGGCCCTCATCCCCCAGCCGCATTGCGCCTACGTGTGAAGCCTAGCCGACGCTCGCTGACGACGCGCGTTGGCCCGACCTAAGTCAGCAGCCACGCAAGAGTGAGAGGCCGATGTGCCTCACGTCCAGCTCGTGTCTGTGAAGAGGCCAATGAGTTCGGGCCATCCAGAGCACGACCGTGTCTTGGCAGAGGTGTGGCCGTCGTCGAGGGCGAGTTAGTTGCGCTGCGCTATGTGCTCGGTCTAACGTGCAGCATGTAAAAGGGTGGCACAAAGGGCTAATGGGATGAAGTGCAATGTGCACCGACATGGATAAGTGAGTACCACTGGGTACTGCCTGTAGCAGCGTGCCGTCCATGTCAGGCTACATGCATCCTGTGCGGTGATATTCAATGGACTAAGTACTGCATATACACACTGTACAATAGTTCATTGAGGCAATTCTACATCAGGATTTCCCTCCCCTGCCCCAGGTGCTGATGTGACCCCCTTATTCAACAGTGAATCCTTCCATGCCTGTGCCAGTGGTCTTGAAAAGGCAATAGAAATAGAGTGATTGACAGCACCATATGCCAATGTTGTGCCATGACTATAGTCTGCCTTAAAGCCAATCAGTGTACCTGCAGCCTGTTTGATGACAACCCGCAGGCCAACATCCACAAAATTGGCACCACCACTAGGGAGGGCATTGTACCCTGCAATTGATGAGTGACTTCTATGAATGGGTATGCTGAGAATAGACTGACTAGTAGTTACAAGCTCCCTAGCCACACAGAGGGAGAATGCAAATTTGCAGTAGGCTTTATCGATGTGTGACCACCTACAGCCAGATTATGACACAGGATGTTTGGTACATCATATGAGAGAAACACTCACGCAATATATCCACGACTCATGTATGCTTCTGGTGGACCACGCTCAGCTGCAGGGAAGGAGTATATTTGCTGTCCAACTGTGATTTTATAGCCACTGCCTAGATTATACCAAATCAGCCTTTGGTCTGTGGTGAAAATCATTGTGTACAACTTACCTTCAGCCACATTCCTTGTGGCAATCCTGGGCATTTCAGCCTGTTCCAGGGATGCCTCAACTTCTTGGATGGCTTCTGAGGGTACCACAGCCTTGATCATAGCCCAAACCAGACTAACAGCCCCAATCACATCTTCATCATGACATTGCTGTATGGAAGGATCCAGGTTCCTGGTATAGCTTTTGGCCCAGCCTACCACACGGGCATGCCAGGGACCACGGTTCAGTCCAACTTGGGCCATATGTCCACCATGACTGGGCTAGAAGAAATTTTCATCAATAACAATACTAATTGACAGCATACTGAGACATACCCTGACATTCCGGCGTTCATTACATGCACTCTCAACCACTTGATGCAGCCATGCATACAAAGGGGTGGAGAGTGCTGCTTGTTGTGCTACACCTCTGATGCACATTAGCTCAAGCTCATATCCTGCTAGGGTATTCATGAGTGTAAATCATGTAAAACCTCCAAATGATACTGACTCACCTTGAGAACTGCCAGATAAAATAATCACTGATTCCTCAGTCCCTATTTCAAGGTAATCATGGGGACTAGCCAGCCCAACCAGGGCAGCATGGGGTTGTCTTGGATTGGTGAATTCTGACATGTGGGTGTGCAGAGGAAGATGGGGGACCTGGTCGCGGGAGCGAATGACCAATCTAAGCTTGATGCCACCAGCAATGATATAGGCATGAGGGCTGGCCCTGAGCAGATCTGCTAGACCATAACTGCTGTGGCCTAGTAGGCCTATCTGGCGCACCTGAAATTGAAACCCTTAACTGTTGTACAGTGTTAGAGAGATCCAGACATACCAATGTCCTCTTCTCATGATGGCTAGCCTGGACTACACCACTGGATGACTGGCTCTCTTTCAGTAGTGTTTTCAGGGTTTCCCAAGCCAGGAATGCTGAAGTGCCTTTGGGCAGTAAGCCTAAACTCCTGCGCACCAGTACAGACAGCTGAAGCTATAGCATGAGGACATATATCATAGAAAACTCATAAAGACTTACATCTTTGGCTGATGGCTGGTGAATAGCCTCTATCTCCCTGAGGATCTGACATATAACAGGAGAATTGGAATCTTTGATGTCAGCAGCACTTATGCTCTCAATGATCCTGATAGTTTCAGGGGCAGATAGGTATGTTGCCACTATGTAATCAGGTTACCATGGGCCATTACATGAGTATGAAGAAAACACCCACATGCTTCCATAGCATCAGTATTCTGTTTCCTTGGCATATTGGTGAGACTGTCACTTTAAACATCTATGTCAATAACCCATTGGATCAGCATGACAGAGAGTATACCTCTGTGATGAAGCTAGTACTTGACCTCAGTATACTCATATGAATATCTGTAAGAGTGACTTACTGCTCAGTGGATAGTAGGGTGCTACTGAATGTCCCTCTAACTCATGCCTCCTTAAATACTGTTGCAATGGCATGTTAGTCATTCAGCTGAGCAGCATCAGTCAGCATCAGTCAGCATCAGTCAGCATCAGTCAGCATCAGTCAGCATCAGTCAGCACTAGTCACAGTCAGTCACAGGCTTCTCAGGTGACTGGCTAATCACTTCAGCTGTCCCTGATCCAGAACATGATAGTTGTATCGAAGTAGTATACATAGAAAAGCATTACATGACCTTCTTCGCCGTCCTCCTAAGTCCTTCAAATGCCACGGGTTCGCGCTCGTCGGCTCGCGCACTCGGCTCGGAGCAACGGTAAAGAGCCGAGGCGGAAACACCAGTAGCCTCGGCCGAGTCGATGGGCAAGGATCGCCATGCGAAGTTCGGCGTGACTTGAGGGGGCGGGCGAGAGGGGGCGGGCGAGAGGGCCGGGTGAGCTCGTCAGTGGAGCGCTGAGGACGGGGAGCAAGGTGGGATGACGGAGGCAGGGGAATCGTGTCGAGGTGAGGGTGTATGCTCGCGCATGAACAACACGTCTGCGCATTATCATGCAGTACAATAGGTGTGAGTTTCTGTGGCTGCGAATCACCACGCGCAGAGAGGATGGACACGCACCTGGAACTCGAGCCCGATGCCGTCCGCCGCGGAGACGTCGAGGAGCTTGGCCTATCTTGCGGCCGATGCTGCTGATGCCTTCGGCGTGCTCCCTGCCGCGCGCCCAGAGCGGGATGTGGTCAACCTTGGTCCGGAGGCTGACGACCGCGCCGCAGATCTCGTCTCGTTGTCGAGGTCCTCGCCGACGAGCGCCATCGCGAGCCGGCTCCAGCAGTGGTCGAGCAGCTGCGGGTTGTTATTCATCGTGAGCACCTACTTGCCGCCGTGCGCATTCGCGGGGTCCTCCTATATCGGCTTGATGCCCGACTGGAAGGTGTGGTAGTTGGAGTTGCGCTCCAGCCGCGAGGGCGGCTTGAGCCAGTTGAAGTACCGGCAGAACGTCCCGACCGTCTCGAACTCGCCGATCACTGTCAGGCCCGCCTCGTACTCGTCCTTCTCGGGCGCAGCAAAGGGCGTCGCGTTCTGTAGCGGGTCCGCGCTCGCGCTGGGGAGCGGTCGTGCGGGGTGGGCGGAGGCGGGCGTGAAGGGGACGGTCGACTTTGTGTCGTGGAATATTGTGCTGCGTGTGAGGTCAGGGCGCGCGCGCAGCGCACGGGATGAACACGCACCATTTGTTCTCGAGCGGGTGCTCCGGGGCCTGGATATGTACGCAGGCCGGGCGTCTTGAGATCCTCGATGGTCTCTGCGCCTTGGCGGTACCGTCGACGCTGAGCGTCCTCGCTTTTGCGAGGCGGGCGGTGACGTCGACTATAGACAGCGGGCGAGGAGGGGAGTAGGGATGGAGGGAAGGTCACTACTTGCTCACTACTAGTAGATCAGTGGGCAGCAAGCGAGGAACGGCCGCAAAAACGAGAGCACCTCACCCGCCCACCGCTGTGCTCGCTGTTAGCGTACATGCCGGTCCGTGTGTGCACTCACCGTGGCCTGCCGCCGGTTCGTCGGCTGCGCCTGCATATACAGGGACAGGGCGTTGGCCCTGTGCACCATGATGCTCGAGCTCGCTGCTCTCTCATGCCCACAGGAAGCTGAACCTCGCCTCCGAGACACGTCCGTGACACGTCCGTGACACGTCACGTGACCTGAAGCTGCAACCTCGAAGCTGCAACCTCGACGCTCGTTCTTTGAAGCTGCAACCTCGACGCTCGTTCTTTGGGCCTCAGAGTCACAAGTCAATCCCTCGTCGTCCGTATTTTTCAACGATAAATACTGTCATAAAATACTTCCGAGTGAGAAATAGCCTTATGGATGAGTGCCGCGAGCAGAATCAGCAGCCTCTAACGTGGACGATATGAGGGTCATCCACGCGCGATCCAGGCGTAGATGAGTCTAAACTTTAGCACCTGAGAACAATCTGCCAGTGAGAACTCGCAGCGTTTAGGCGGCCGAAGCGAGCAGTGGAAACGGTACGTGTATTACGTAAGATGCTGGCACATATGAACTTCGTGATATTTGGCGCCCGCTCCGAGTCCTCTCACCGCGCACCGGGCGCATCGCTGGTACTTGTCTTTTCTTGTCACATACGGTTCCGAACGCGCTCAGATATCAGCAAGCTATGTTTGCAAGCCTCAGCAGAACGTCGTCACTCTGCCGCATGAAATGTCCCATGTGAGCATGTGAGTGCAAGGGCTGTCATCGAGATTGCTGCCATGCGAAACATGTGAGCTCATCTACTAGAAGCCAGAAGCTGTTTATAAACGGAGGGCGAGAGCACACACTACTTCCTGACAGATGCTGATGAGGACTTGTGCTAGGTTTGTGTTAGGTCGTTCTCCATCCAAGATACGGGATGTGTTGGACACACCCAAGACACTCGTTGAACAGTCAATCGAGGCCGATCCGTTGAGCCTATTCACCTCTCCCACTCGGTGCGCTTTTCTCTGCCTCGGCCACATCTAGCGGTGTGGAGGTTGAACGTGAGGCGACGTGTACTGTATATATGGCACTCTTCTTCACCCATGCGTTACAAGAAACACTAACCAGTACTTTCCGCAGACACAGAGCAGAAGGGCCCCAAATCTCCATCACAGGGTGTTCCCCACGCTTGAGCAGAGAGCAATGCAGTGCCTAGACGGCGTTCCCCGGCGATCATAGCGGTGAACATGGCATGATAGAACTTTCTGTCAAGAGTCTGGACATCGACATCCAGTGGCCCCGACTTCCACCTCAACGTACCCTCAGGGCCTCTTCTCGGCCACAGATAGATTGTGCTGGAGACGCTGACTGAGTGATACGATGCTGACATTCCGTCTAGTAACTGCTCATGCATCAAAGGAGTCTCCTCTCCAGCCGTCTTCGGGAGGTAGGGGGCCCCGTGTCCCTTCACTGTACAATGTCAAGCGGAAGGAGAGGAGACTGGCATCAGGCTTCCATTGATGCTCCGAAAGGCACTCTGATAAGTAACCTCGACTGATTTCTTCAATCTTCCGGCTGCGCAGTGACCGTGGTCCGTATGCACTTCACTTAACTGTTGTGAATAATCTCTGACACTGGCATGTCATCAATAGGAGCATGCAATAGAGCGTTTGACGTCTCAACGCAATCCCAACGTCTCACGGGCTGCCAGTAGTGCATTAATAGTAGGTACTGATGCAACTGGCCCGAAGAATGCGTCATGGGACGCCACCGCATACTAATGTACTCCTGATCGATCGCACGCTCGGCTCCGTTGTCGTCAGGCCGCGATCTCTCTGACAGAATCAATGCCTCCATATGCCTCCTCTGTTGATCAGAAGCTTCGGCACTGAGACGATCTCGCAAGTCCCCCCGGGTCCTCTGCGTCCGACAATGCGTCTCTCGAACCTTGTCAAATGCTCCTCAGACATATATGTGACCGCTTGACAACTCATCGGCGCGGCTTTCACCTCCCAACTCTGTTTCCCTTTTCACCTGTGCGCGCGGCACAATACTGAACATGCCCGTCTACATCGCAGGCACAAATGCGAGGACGCCCATCACTTCGATCGCTCTGCAGTCGCTCATCTATGGTGAGTTCTCCTTCGCGAACACATTGAAGTGTGGTTCGGACGCCGACGCCGACAAATCGATGACCCCTCGTAGGCTTCTCGTGCTGCATGTTCGGCATGACAGTGTGGATACTCGGGGTACAGCGCGGCCTGCGGGGAAGTCATATCATGCTCGCGACCGCGTTCCTGTTGTGGGCCTTACCAACCGTCGTCAGTCTGTTCTATACTACTCTTCGTGCTCGTGCTGATATTGCAATATAGCGACTATGCATCGACATCAACCTTACGGTCACAGCATTCGTCGACCACATCGATGAAGGGCAGCTCGGACCGCAGAAATACCTCTCTACGTTCTCTACCCCGGTGTCTCTTACAGACAACGCGATTTACGGACTACAGACACTCATAGGTGATGCTGTTGTGGTGAGTCACAAGTGTTCGCGCGTCGATCCAGCGCAACCACTGAATGACCCTTACTTGTGTAGATATACCGCTGTTACGTTGTCTGGCAGACCTGGTGGGTCATTGTGCTACCGTGCATTGCATGGGTAGGTGGTCTGGGTATGTCATCAGTGCACGTCTGTGTTTGCGCTGTGCTCAGCTAATCCTATGTTCGTGTAGGGAGTATGATGTACATCTTGTATATGTTCGCGAGCGGGGTCATCAACGGCGAGCGTGGCCTCCTAATCTATATCTTCACCTTCGTCGCGAACGGTTCTGCAACCGGTACACATGTCTTGCTTCTCAGAGCGCACGTCGGATATTGATCTATCTATAGCTCTCCTTGCATACAAGATCTGGACTGTGGAGCGCCACGCCAGGAAAAGCGGCGTCAAACGGGGTCACGGCAGTCTCTGGCCCGTCATACTAGTGGTCGTCGAATCTGGAGCGTTGTACACGGCCATCCTCATCGTTGCGCTGGTGACCGCCATACACGCTCTCCAGGTCGAATATGTCATCAACAGCTTCGTAAGTGTATTCCCGTCTGTTCAAATTTGTGTCCTACCGCATTATAACTTCACTATTCTCAGATACCGGCACTCATATCTGTCATTTTCAATACTATCTTCATCCGCATCGGCCTGAGCAGGCGGTCGAATTCTACGAGCGGTGGATCGGATAGCGCACCTTTGGAGTCGGTCGTCTTTGCGCCGGCGACGTTTCACAGCACCGAGAAAGATTTTGGTACTCACTTGACGACGAATCATCCTGCGCTGTTACAGAGCTCGTCTTCTGCGGGTGAGAGTGAAATATCCCCAGTATAGCCTCTATGACGGTGAGGGCCTGAGGGTAGATAGTCTTGCGGGTTGTTATGTTATCATTGATATATTGGGTCTGCGAGCATCAATAAGAGACTCGGAGCTGTACTTGCGAAGGTGTGGTCGGAGGTGTTTCTGACTTGGCTTAATAGTCTAGAAACATTGCCAGAACTTATCATCACCGGGACTCGGTAACTGAGCCATGACAAGACGATGGTGATGAATGTCTGGCAGTATTTATTCGACAACTGTGTTAGAACTCATCTCAGTCCCGCTCCTTTTCTCCCGCTCCCGCTCCTCCCCTCCCTTCTCCCTCCCCTCCTCCCTCTCCCCTCCGCTCCCCCCTCTCCCCCTCCTCCTCCTCCTCTTACTCCTTCCCGTCGAGCGAGATCATTCTGAGGTTAAGACATGGCGCCAATCTTATCTTATCTGCCAACGTGTTATAATCCCGAATACGTCAGTCTCTGAACATCGCCGGTCGCTGCTCATCCGCGACCTCCATGTCCGCGAGCCCATCCAGTCCTTCTAGTCGTCGTTCATCACATTCAACACATCCTCCTCGCTGGCGACGAACCATCTCCGCGACAAAGAGCCAGCAGCCAGCCAGTATTTCGCTAGTCTACGCGCAGCCCGAGCAAGGTTCGAAGCTGCGCTCCGCAATTGACCAGCTACCCGCCCATGCGCTGGACGACAACTCGAGCTCGTCGAGTATCATGTCGAAGAAGCGGGAGCGCTTGTCATCGACCTCTACAGCTGGGAGAGAAACAGATATCGGGGAGGGCGATGTGGACCGCAAACGCACCCGAACTCAGTCCGCGGCTGCGCAACATCTTAGTCCAGCGTTGATCCCACCACCTGAGGAAGAGGCTGTACAAATTTTGCCCATAGACGACGCAGACAGTCGTAAGTAATGGCAACGTGCATGCTCGCTATACAAGTCCTCGGTTCTGATCGGCATGATTGGATAGCTACAGCACCCTCTGACGCGTTGACATCGCCACCACCGACAACCGGACTATCAACGGAAACGGCTGCAGTGTCCACAGAGGCGGTGCCGTTTCCAAGCTCCGAGCGCGAGCCGAAGCAACTGTCAACTCGTTCGTCGTGGTTCGGATCCTTGTCTCGCGCTAGAGGAAAAGACACAGTGAGAAGTGAGGAAACGCAAAGCAGGCCGACCGCGGAAGATGCTCTCAAACTCGACCTTGATAAGGTCAATGAACAACCGAGAACGGAGCCCGTCTCGAGTCAAGGCGGACAGAAGGACCCGAGTGCGGAATCCGACACAGCCCGACCGCAATCCATTACAATGCCCCGGCCGCCTGTTCAGGCGTCACAGGCTACGCCTAGTCCATCCTCCCCGGGACTGCCGACGATTTCCGCTTCCGGCATCGGCGCGTCTCCTTCCCTCATGTCAGTCGACGAGGAAGTCCCTCGGGCGAGACTTGCCACAGACAGCCCGCCCATGGAGATGTTGCATGCGCAGGTGCAGCCTCAGGATGACCTATCGATGGGGCGCAAGCCTTCCATGTCCGACTTGAACCCGTCGACGAGCCGTTTCACGCTGCGGATACCTCTGCTCGGACGTCCGAAGGTCCCGTTGCAGCAGGCTGTGAAGAGTGCGGAAGTGAGTGCGCAGCTGGATGGAGCGACGTCTGGGAGAATTGAAGTCGCGAAGGATGGTGTGAAGGATGCTGCGGGTACGTGGTGCAATGCGCACCGAAAGCACAACTGATGACGTCTGTCTGTCAGGTCAATTACAGTCTTCGACATCCGCCGGCGAGCACAAAGTTGGGGAGAGCAATGGTGACTCAGTTCAAAGTGAGTTACCTCACGGCACTCCGTGCCTAGCGCTAGTATAGATAACAATGGCTCTGTACCACCAGCTGAAGAGTCTCAGCCACCACCTGGTACACCTCTTCCAACAAAGATTGAGCGGGCAATGATGAGCTCAATCATGGCGCCAGACCCTGAGCCACCTTCGTCTGGCGCTTCGGCTACCGAACCCAGTCCCGCGCGGTCACCAGTGTCTGAGGCGCCCTCTCCGGAATTGTCTGCGGATGGGCCATCGACATCGCCGAGGCCACCTTCTGATGACGAGACGCCGTGGGCAAAGAGCCGGATACGGTGCGTGCGAGTGCGGCGTGGGTGCGGGGCGGGGATCGTCGCACGGCGGGCGTGGGGAGGTTACGTGCGGGCGCAGTGATTGGCTGAGGGCGAAACGCAACTGGTGCCACAAGTCCAAAAAACGTCCTTTTTTCGGCCATAGTTTCCCCTCCCCGCAGGGAGCTCGCGTATTATGGGTGGTCAAAACTTTTCGTGGCACGCACAAACGGGTCCCGGTATGTACATGCTGATGACAAAAAAAAGAAGCCCCCTCTCTGCCTCGCGCGCTGCAACACATAGCCCCTCCCCCCGCCCAATGGCATCCCCAGGTGCGTGTCCCTCGTCGTACGTCGGTCGCTGCGTGTACATACAGAGAGTCAATGGAATCATTTACCCCCGACTCCCGGTCGACGAACACGGCATGCACACGCGCGACGCGCAACTCACCATACAAGCCGAGCGCGTCCACCTATGAGAGGCACTCCAGCATCGGTGGACGGCAGACGGACAGCCGTTGTTACGCCTTGAGTGCTACGTCGGCATATGAACACGCCCGCGGGCTACGGGACGCTGCTGTTGCGCCGGGCCGTCGCACTCGGATACTCGCCAAGTCAGTGTCGGTCAACCAGAAGAGCAGACTGACTGCTCACCGCTCAGGATCGCCCGCTTCTACACATACATCGACGTTCACGACGAGCCCGAGGACTCGGGACAGACGAGTCGGAGAGGACTCGCGCACTGTGCAGCCCGATCCTGTACGCGCATGTCAGAGGCGACACGAGACGTCGCATCAGTCACTTGGTCTTCATGCTTGATGGACGACATGCCTCTCGCACAGTCCAGGTTCTTGCTCCGAGTGGCGGGACGTCGATATATACATACATCGCTGTTCCAGCCACCGCAAAGTCAGCATGTAGAGTTGATCAACGACGCACCCCATACATTAGTCACCGGACCTCGATAACTCACGTCCAGCCGGCCCACGCACAAAGTCGATCGCGGGACATAGAGCTCGCCGGACGGCGAGCTGTCCATACACCGCCGCAGCTCCCGAGGTTCCGCGCGAAGGACATACTGACCTCAGTGTCGACGGTCAGTATGAATGAACATCAGAGACCAAAAACCACTGACCGGGGCAAGACAGCCATCGCGAGCGTATTGCGAAGATTGACCACAAGCAAGTCGGGCGGCAGCGCTGATGGGAACACATGGCGCCTGTCCAGTGGAACGTCAGTCGCTGTCGGCAGGCTCCCGCCGGGATGTTGCGGTCTACTCACCTTCATGACCACGCCGCTTGCGGGGCGTCGATACATACATACATTGTCAAACAGGGCCATGCTCTTCCTACAGCGGTGTGTATGGCCGACATCAGTGCAGCGGGAAACATCCAAATCGATCACCCAGTCCACGCAGCGCTGACGCGCTGCTTCCCGTTACTCGACACGCGAAACTCAGTGGCGATGTTCCTGCACAGTGGAATATCATTCGTCAATCACACGTGCAGACCTTGCTGTCTACGCACCATCGTCATGACCCCGCTCGCCGGAAGAAGATCTGTATATATATTGCCTTACAGGGACACAATCTGACCAGGGCGGGACAACAACGAGCGGGATGTGATGTGGAAGAGAGCGAGACGTGTGCTTGCGCGGTGCTGCAAAGGGTGTGTCAGTATGTCGACTACAGGGATCGCGCCGCTCGGTACGTACCTTTCCGCATGGCTGTTATACGTCGCTCGCCGGACGCTGTTCTGTATATACATTGCTGTCCCGGGTGCAGTGGAAGACGGTCGGTCGAACGAGGCTGTTGCAGTGTTGGTAGGCCGACTGTAGGTATATAAGTACATGTGATACATACCCACCGTCTTGTACAGAAGTTCGAAGATTCGGTGCCAGTGCATAGCCTGAATCGCCGTGGCTGCGAGCATGAGTACGCATTGAGTGTTCAATTGCTCACTGTGTGTGCCATGTCATTTAGCACAGGGAGATAAGCCGTTCGTGAATCGGAACAAGCAGCACATCTTACGGGGGCATGAAAGGTACGAAGGACTTGTTGTCCTTTATGCCTTTATTGCTACCACGAGAACAAGAAGCTCACCGACCAGTGGAGCTGAGGAACATCACCGAAAGGCGTATTTAGCAGAATCAATGATCACATCCGCGGGACGGAGGAGCTCAGTTCGCGACTGATGATGTACATAATGAGATGATGCAGCTAACGTGACTACGGAATCAGAGTAAATGTAGCTGAGCACGGAATAATCAGTACAGTGAAGCACGACGGACGGCGAGATACTCACGACACGCCAAGTCCACAGGTGGACAATAGATTGGTTCCCGAAATGCTTGACTCGACGCGACGAGCATCCATCTATCCATAACGGTCAGTGATTCGCTGACACTTTGCATGCGGCATCTCCCATACCTGTCAAAGCGGAGCTATCACGAGGGACTAATATCCATCCAGATGCGAAAGCTTTCAAGTTCTACGGACACGTCGCAGGTGTCTCCGCTGAGTCTGGCATCCCGAGCCAATGCGTAGCAGAGGGCACAAGCGCGGCTCGTGCAGCAACATATCCTTGTGTCTCCCTTAGTCTGCAGTGTCCATGCAAGTTTTCGGGCGACGTACCTATCCATACGGATGACACGTACATGCTTATGTACCTCCGTCTACTCTCCCGCGTCTTGAAGAGCGCGGCTATGGGTTTGTGTGAGCATACAGACATTCGTGGGGCTTCATGATGTGGACGAGTCGATACGGGTAGTATGGCTAGACAACGGCACCATGAGCGTCTGAGTGTAGCTACTATATCGGGAAGGTACTCATGATCGGCCTCGCAGCTTGCGCAGAACTGTTCGCGTCGCTCGAGTCCCGATGCCGGAGGACCATCAAGATACTGCTGCATGGGCAGAAAACAAATGTGAGTGAAAATACTGACAAGAAAGCGAGGAGACTTACACTGACTGATCGCGTGTCGGCGAAGCATGTTTGCTAAGGTGGGTGACTGGAGATCATTGCGATCGGGGACCAATGGTGAGCTCGACTGTCATATAGATGGATGTACATACCATGTGTTGGATAGTCATCGTGCAGAGGTCCACGTCGGCAAGGAGGAGGAGCATAACGAAGGGCTGGGGAGGTGTTGTGCGTCAATTCCCTTCGCACCCCAGTCTTTATACAACTCTGTCAGTCTTCGGTTCCTGTCCGCTTCCGGTGATGGTGCCAGAATCATGTCAGATTATATTTGCACTCACCGAAGCCATCTGCTCGCCTCAAGACAGTGCCCCAAATGGATGCACTGAGCAGAGTCTCTTCGGTTGCTACTCGGAATTGCCTGTCTCTGATCATTCATTCCTCTTTTGGAACTCCGACATGACATCATCCCTGCAGTAGATGGCCAGTCACTCAGCTGTTCATACTTCCTGGGTTTCGACTTCAGTGATTGTAACTCAAGATCATTGTTGAGGCTCAGATCAATTCAAGTTCACCCTTACTTATACTCAGTATGACATTCAGACTGATCGGCAGAACTGGACTCGAAGCTTGAAGATGAGTTGTGGTGTATGAATGGAACTTACCTGATATAGCCATCTTCCATGGCTATCCCTCAATCCGACGTTGACGGACCCAAGGCTCCTGGTGGCTGGTATTCGCACAGTAAGGCCCATCCCTCATGTTTTCCATGGCCTTCTTCAATAAACTTACTCACATGTATTCTTTGACAGGTCAATCAATGACATGTGCATGGCGGAGAGCTATATGGTCCACTGAGCTCGGTGTGCGATGATACAAATATGTTACCTACCCAATATGGAATGCGGTGGCACGAATCGCAGACGCCACCGGTCTATTCGGTATACGGTGTTTGGTGGCGGGGACGATGATTGCGCAGAGATCGTGCGGATGGACATGGACGGACGGGTGAAATGCCGCGAGGGTGACTGGAAGTTAGATTGCATCCGATCAGTGGCAAATGACGAATCAAGCAAGTACTGTAGTACGGCGGCGGACCAGCAGCAGACAGATCGAATGGCACACGGTATGATTCGTACGTTGCTCGGCTCTTCTCTTGGCCTCAGCGGGCCTTCTTTTGTGCAATCTACCGTCGCATGAATGTTCGTACAAATCCAATCAAATTTCTAGTCAGACTTGCCAGATTTAGATACTAGTAGTTCCTCTTCGTCTATACGTAGGCGATCAAACTCGGGGTTCTCACTCAGAATGTCCGGGCTTGATTGGGTAGCCCGACTTGAACTGAGTGGCAGATTGCCACTACGAGGGCGTAGCATTAATGCTAACGTAGCCGCGGTATTGGTCCGACACCTCGCCGGACTCCGCCGGTTCCGCTCACTCACTAGCACAAGCAGCCCGAGTCTGGCAGGTCGTGGTTCCAGCTCTCACAATATCATGCGGACATGGACGAACAGCTTTTGGGACGCGAGTGCACATATTCAACACATATGTACTTGGTCACAGTCACTTTGACGGTGCTGCCGCGTCGGCGCGACGCGCGGGTTGCATGTCAGCCACAGTTATGCACTCTGTCCCACTCGTCCACCTGCTCGCTCGCTCTGAACTCGATTCCTTCATTTTCTCTGCGTTATATGCGCCCGCAACACAATCTCGCACACATTTCTCTGGTCGACCTCGATACCTGCGCGCCACAGCCTCTGTATTGTCCGCTGCATCACCCTTGAACGACGTATACGGCTATACTCAGTTCGGGCGGCCGTGCCCAACTGCGACTGTACTGTCGACGCTTTTACCCAGCCCCTGCGCTTCGAATGCGACCTCGCAGTGCACAATTGGGACGCAGCTGCTCTCTGCTTTCCGGACATGCTGTCAGCGGGCCTTCCAGTTCTTCGTTCTCGCGAAGCGTCTTTGCGGGCTAATGGTACGTATACGCCCGCTCAGCCGGTCTGCGGGCTCGACAGATCCTGTCAAACTGCTCGCGATCAAATGCTCTACCGGAGCCTCGCGTACTGAAGGGCCGTTGGTCAGGGGTCGTGAAACTGTGAGTTCGTGTGCCTGTCATCCTCGCTTCCCATCTGCGCCGCGCATATCGCGCTGAGAGGACAGAAGGAGAAGTTGCGTACCGGATAGGTGGTCGCGATCCACCCGCCGTTGGATCTACCAATCGAATCCGAGTCTGTTCCTTGAGGGACACTGCCAGGGACGGCCCAGGTGTCTTCATTGTGCGCGATGAATGGTATGCACTCGTTGTATGCTCGATTTCGATGCACGCATGCCGACCTACGATCTGCACGTCGATTGACGCATCTGAATAGGTGCTTGTCGTGTATACTCGAGCGCGGCGGATGACCATTCCATCGTCCGTCGCGTCGATGACACGGACAGGCACTAAGGTGAATGTACCGGCGATCGCTGAGTACAGATCACTTCCGGTGATTTTGCGAAGCTTGATCTCATCGCGGGCCTGGGTAACTGCATCTCTGACGATTCAATCTGCACGTCCTGACGCTGCTTCGCGCCAGTCCTCGCCTCACAATCGCCGTCGAAGCCCCCTTTTTCCTTGCGAAAGGGTGCGTCCCGTTGGTCCCGAGACGTTCATACGTGGCAACATCGTGTCCCTGTCTTCGGCTCTTGTCTCGGACGTCCCATCTCTCGTTTGACGTGCCGGCGCCGGCTACTACCGATTGCATGTCGTCGAAGGCCGGGCAGTCGCATCATCACAGGCCTGGTGCGATGTTTGCCTCGAATTGCGGGCTGTACTGTCCGCATGAGACGAATCAAAATCGTCAATATTCTTGTTTCGAGGCTTGCGATCTGTTTGACTCGCTGCTCGTACCTGCTCGTACCTTGCGTAAAGCAGGGTATTGATTAGGTTTTGCTCAACACCACAGGTCATGGGATGCTTCTAGCATTCGGCCCCGCTTTCCGCGACTGTCGGAGCCGTCGTAGAAGACGTGACTCGCTTCGCTGTCGACCCGGAAGGGAATGATGCCATATGCAAATGGCCTGGACTTCAGTGCTGCTCGCTCGAGATCTGAGGGCACGATCACCTCGGATGTCTTGCAACAGACCATGTTTGGGACGGCTGCTGATCGGCCTATTTTCCCGCCTATGCAACCCTCGAACGCATCACGTCACGTAGTCGAGGACACAGCGGGGCGCATCAACGGATTCATTGGCGAACGGCTCAGGTATCCGAGTCGTCGAGCCCGCATGCGGAGTGCCCGACATCGCAGCAGTCAAGTGAATGGCTGATTCGTGGACGGTCATCTTGTACGGGTTGAATCAGTCCGGAGCCATGACTATTGCGCTCCCGTGCGCGTAGTATTCACGAGAACGTATTTCACAGCGGCGACGCGGTGTACTCGTGCTCGCGTGTCGAGAATACTGATGCATACGTCGTACGGACCTGAGTGATAATCACAGAAACGTTGGTACTCGCTATTCCACCGCTTTGGCCGTGTCTGCGAAGCCCGGTTTCCTTGGCGAACTACCGGTCCCTCCCCGATTCCCAGCGACCCGGCGTGGCCTGAGGAATCGAAAGAGGGGGTGCTGTACTCACTTATGTCGCAGAAGGACATGCAAATGAGTAACAGACTCCGCAGCGAGTATCCGACGGATGGAACGAGGCGAAAGAGCGAGCCTGTATTATGCATCGACACCCGCGAGTGCAGAGCTGTGTGTGCAGAGCCAAGACACAGACATCGGCGAAGTTGACTGGGTAATCACGCTCTCTATGTATCGAGCACGGCGATAGGTGAGTGTAGCTTCGGCATGTGTGTTTTTGTTTACCAGAAAGCTCGTAGTTCTTCAGTACGACTCGCAACACCCATGTTCTCGTGCGGCGACCTACGGTGCTCGTACGTAGACCAGTAGTAGACATGTTTCGCTGCTTGCACGACCTAGCCGGCGCACGGTCTAACGTCTTTGCTGTAGGTCGGCTCAGACGCGTACAAGCTCGTTCTCAACGAGGACACTACAAAAGAACACACGGACGTTAACGTGTCATGATTATATATATTGCTCGGACTCGTCTCAGCATACCATCGCTCTCTACCTGCTCGTGTGCATCGGGGACCACTGTCCTTGACGGCTGTACCAGAACAACACCGCTGTCGGTTTGCGTACTCGGCAACAACCAATCTGGGAGGTGAAGAAGTCCCACTTCATGAACAAACCGTGAAGCTCACGAATTATCATGACTCGAGCAACGATCGGCAGGTTCGTGGGTGTCGACTAAGAACATGATCTCTATAACATAGCTTTCTCGCCATTCCACAGCGCCGATTCTGCTACGCCCCGACGCGGCGAGTCACCCGCTTTCTTGTGTAGACTGACTATACGGCTGCATAATCGTGAAGGTGAGAGATTCATTGTACTGCCCAAACACCCTCTGAATGGATACCGCGACTTGCGCCGGTTCCTCTTACCTGCAGGTTGGTAAATTTTCCCGATCTCGAAAACGCTCTCGTGCTGAAGACATAACGCGCGGCCACCTTCTCCTGACCCCGTCGTCATTGATGGCAAGGGCCATTTCCTTGGTCGCCTGGCTTCGATTATCTCGAAGCAGGTTCTCAACGGCCAGAAGATTGTCGTTGTACGCTGCGAGGAGATCAACACTTCGGGTAGCTTCTTCCGCAACAAGGTCATTATTATCATACGTCTGGCTGCATCGCGCTCATAGCATGTATGCAGCGGTGGTACCATAACTTCCTTCACAGATGCCACATCGCGAACCCGAGGGAGGCGGGCCCTTTCCACCGCCGCGCCCCCTGCAGTACCCTGCAATCCGCGGTATGGTTCCCCACAAGACTGCCCGCGGCGCGGCAGCCCTTGAGCGTCTCAAGCTCTTCGACGGTGTCTCCCCTCCCCACGACCGCAAGAAGCGGATGGTTGTTCTCGAGGCCTTGAGGGTCTTGCGATTGAAGCCTGGCCGCAAGTACTGCGTGACAGTCAAGGTACACGATCTGTTCCCCGTTGACCTCCATCTCTGCTAACGTGTTTGTGTCTGCGCTGTCACGTCTCTCTCATGAGATTGGCTAGGGCTACAAGGGCACTGTTGTGGACCGTCTGGAGGAGAAGAGGAAGATCAAGGCTCAGGCCTTCCACGAGCGCAAGGTGCGTGTCTCTGCGAGGTGTGTTATCATGCAATGCATCTCATTCCCTTCAAGCTCGCAGCGATCAAGCTGCGTGAAAGAGCCGTTGCTGGCACCGCGTCATCCTTCGAGAACCTTACACAGCTCGGCTACTAGACGTTGTGATTGCATGGATTGCCGTATCCTACGCATGCGCTCAGACTCTACTATGCGCAGATGCCATGAGATACTCCATGTAACGCTTTACTGCTCTTCGTGCCCGTGCGAGGTCTTGAACGTTGCTGTACGCGTTACGCGCCGCGTCTGGACGTCGTCGTGTTCCATTTCATAGCGAACTCATGCATCCTTGCATGCCCATCGTAGGCACGTCGATACCAGGGTGTGGTACAAAGCCAAATATATCTATTGCTCACGATGCTACATACATGTCGTTGTACCTACGCGGGACAGTATAACGCGCGCGACTCGCCGGTCGTCGTTGCTTGCTTGCGCTGCGCTGCGAGAAGCGATACGCCGACAGCGAGGCCCGCGTCCTCTGCACGCCGACACCGACGTCGACGCGCGTCCGTCGCCGCGCCCCTGCCCGATTCCGCCCGTTGATCGCACGACCCCGAACTCCCGACGTACCATCAGAGTACCAGGCCACCGATCTGCAGCGCTGTTCGGGCCCCTACACTCGAGCCCACCAGTGCCCCGGCGCGCGTCCTGGTCATACGCCGTCCCGCGCGACCTCGCTATGCATTCGGCGATTCGACCAGAACAGCGATGCCCAGCCGTGTCAGTACTCACCTCCCAGTCCAGCGCACTGAACGGCGTCCGCGGTCCAGCCTGAGGCGTACGCGTTCCTGCACCGCCGTACCGCTTGCAGAACACGGTGCTCGCTGGCGTGGGTCGACGTTCGACGAGGGAAGGTCGCCAGAACTCGGCTGCCGACTCGGAGACAGAGTTCCCGCGGAATCGGAGGTGAGCACGTCCCTCGCCGGCTAACTGAATGGAACGAACTCGTCAGGGTGTTGACGAATGGAAGGACGTACGCACCCTCTCGTACGATGCCTCGACCGACCGACCAGAAGCCCAGCCCGTCACGACCGCATCTCGTCCAGACGTGTGCCCCCCGCTGTCGACCCTGCCTGCGCGAGAGCTGCAGGAGTCTCGCCAGGCCCATCCGCGCGTACCGTCGGCCTGCACGTCGGTGGTGAGTGCACGGGGGAGAGAGCCGCATACCACGACGTCCGATGTAACCGGGTAACGTTCGCCAGACAGGACCTTCCACCGAAGAACCGCGCCCTCCGAGCACTGGCGCGAAGAACGGTGCATCTTGCAGCACCACGGCGTCCGCCCGATCGGTGTCCGTCCGTGCGGCGTGCGTGCGTGCGTGTGTCTGAGGTACCGACAGAGCTGCCATCCGCGCGTTCGCTTCCGCGGACATGGCGCGCGAGGTGCCCGAACAAGCGACGGCGACTCGGGGCGGCTGTCATCGCGCTGATGAGCACCCCGAGCCGGCGAGGCATAAAAGCGAGGGCTGGGAGAGCGACGGGGCATCGGTAAGTCGCACTTGTCAACGAGCTAGGTGGTGGAGCACTAACCGCGTGTTGCAGACGGGCTCGAGCGCGACGATCAGCGACGCGACCTCGGCGCGGGTGGCCGTGCACGGGATCACCGTCGTCGGGGTGCGCGACGGCGGGAGCAGGTGAGGTCCAGTCCGCCCGACTTTGTCTCGTGGAGCTTGCTGATGTCGGGAATTGTTTTCCAGAGATGTCCCCCGCCGCCTTGGCTTGCCCGGCCGCGAACGTCTGCCGCCTTGGCTGTCTCGACCGCGAACGTCTGCCGCCTTGGCTGCGTCGACCGCAGCGGAAAACGACCGGTTGGGCTTGCGACGCGGGTGTGGGCGAGAGAGCACGTTTGCCTGTGCGGTCGTTGCGGGTGAGTGGAGACGAACGGGCGGGACGCGACACTCGGCGCTGTACGTCCGCGCGAGGCATTGTGTGCGAGTCAGCCTGGGGAGCGGGGCTGTAGGTCTGGAGCGGATATTGTCTGTAGGATCGTCTGCGTACGTCGATAGTCTGCGTCCGTTGATAGTCTGCGTACGTCGATGGTCTCCTGCGTCCGGCGGTCCGGCGCGCGCTGCAGGTGACTCGAGCTGTGCGTACTTGCATGGCTTCCCCTGCGTACTGCGAGGCACGGGGAGCGCTGGCGAGATCCTGCCCGTCTGCGGATCGCGTCGTGGCACCGTTTGAGCCGTACGTGGTCGTCTTTGGTGTGCGTCGGACGTCGTGCGGACCGCGGGATGTCCGTAAACGCATCGCCCAGTGAGACGTGGGCCTGCAGTGCAGTACGACGCGCGGTTGGAATGAGTTGCAGAGGCGAGGAGGGATTACGGGCGCTTGTTTGATAGCGTCGCACGGAACGCGACGCAGCGCACCGCGCTGCGCTAGGCATCGCTCCCGACAACTTGGAGCAACACAATACGATGCCCGTGCATCGTTTGGTACCGGTGTGGCAGGGTACGAAGGGCGGAATGGGGGCGGCGGAAGGCTGGAAGAAGATGGGTGGGTGACATTGGGAGACGTGTTTTCTCGGTAAATGCGCGCGATGACACGAGTAAAAGGAAAACGGACTTTTGTATGCCGGAACAGTGTGCAAAGTGGGGCGTTGGGGGTGCCGGCAGACTCGTCTCGACTGTGCGCATCTGCCTATGGGCACGGATGGCCGCTGAGGGGCGGGCAGAAGCGACGGGAGGAGGAGAGACAGCAGGGAGAGGACGCAGACGGGCGAGAGCAGGGCACGGGCAGAACGCAGGAGCAGTCGGGCGAGAGCAGGGCGACGAGTGGCAGAAAGCGGCCGCTGAGCGTGTCGAGCGTCGAGTCGAATGGGCGGCGGCAGCCAATGAGACGCGTGGGCGAGGTGTCGGAAGCAGCGTGCGTCGGCGGGAGGGCCGTGACCGGGACGCAGCAAGTGAGCGGATGACGCAGGACTGGCGGTCGAGTGAGAGCAAAGCGATCACGGGCTGCCAGTAGTGCAAGGTTAACAGTAAGTACTGATGGGCCACATACTAATGTACTCCTGATCGATCGCACGCTTGGCTCCGTTGTCGTCAGGCCGCGATCTCTGACAGACAGTGACAGAAACAATGCCTCCATATGCCTCCTCTGTTGATCAGAAGCTTCGGCACTGAGACGACCTCGCAAGTCCCCGTCCTCCGCGTCCGACAATGCGTCTCTCGAACCTTGTCAAATGCTCCCCAGGCATATATGTGACCGCTTGACATCTCATCGGTGTGGCTTTCACCTCCCAACTGTCTCCCTTTTCACCTGTGCGCGCGGCACAATACTGAACATGCCCGTCTACATCGCAGGCACAAATGCGAGGACGCCCATCACTTCGATCGCTCTGCAGTCGCTCATCTATGGTGAGTTCTCCTTCGCGAACACATTGAAGTGTGGTTCGGACGCCGACGCCGACAAATTGATGACCCCTCGTAGGGTTTTCATGCTGCATGTTCGGCATGACAGTGTGGATTCTCGGGGTACAGCGCGGCCTGCGGGGAAGTCATATCATGCTCGTGACCGCGTTCCTGTTGTGGGCCTTACCAACCATCGTCAGTCTGTTCTATACTACTCTTCGTGCTCGTGCTGATATTACAATATAGCGACTATGCATCGACATCAACCTTACGGTCACAGCATTCGTCGACCACATCGACGAAGGACAGCTCGGACCGCAGAAATACCTCTCCACGTTCTCTACTCCGGTGTCTCTTACAGACAACGCGATTTACGGACTACAGACACTCATAGGTGATGCCGTTGTGGTGAGCAAGTGTCCGCGCGTCGATCCAGCGCAACCACTGAATGAGCCGTACTTGTATAGATATACCGCTGTTACATTGTCTGGCAGACCTGGTGGGTCATTGTGCTACCGTGCATTGCATGGGTAGGCGGTCTGGGTATGTCATCAGTGCACGTCCGTGTTTGCGCTGTGCTCAGCTAATCCTATGTTCGTGTAGGGAGCATGATGTATATCTTGTATATGTTCGCGAGCGGGGTCATCAATGGCGAGCGGGGTCTCCTTATCTATATATTCACCTTCGTCGCGAACGGTTCTGCAACCGGTACATATGTCTTGCTTCCCAGAGCGCACGCCGGATATTGATCTGTCTACAGCTTTCCTTGCATACAAGATCTGGACTGTGGAACGCGACGCCAGGAAAAGCGGCGTCAAACGGGGTCACAGCGGTCTCTGGCCCGTCATATTAGTGATCGTCGAATCTGGAGCGTTGTACACGGCCATCCTCATCGTCGCGCTGGTGACCGCCATACACGCTCTCCAGGTCGAATATGTCATCAACAGCTTCGTAAGTGTATTCCCGTCTGTTCAAATCTGTGTCCTACCGCATTATAACTTCACTATTCTCAGATACCGGCACTCATATCTGTCATTTTCAACACCATCTTCATCCGCATCGGCCTGAGCAGGCGGTCGAATTCTACGAGCGGTGGATCGGATAGCGCACCTTTGGAGTCGGTCGTCTTTGCGCCGGCGACGTTTCACAGCACCGAGAAGGACTTTGGTACTCACTTGGCGACGAATCATCCTGCGCTGTTACAGAGCTCGTCTTCTGCGGGTGAGAGTGAGATATCCCCGGTATAGCCTCTATGACGATGTCGGCCTGAGGGTAGATAGTCTTGCGGGTTGTTATGTATTATAATGTTGAGTCTGCGAGCATCAATCAGAGACTCGGAGCTTTACTTGCGACACTATTGGTTGGAGGTATTTCTGACTTAGCCTAATAGTCTCGAAACATTGCCAGTACATCATTACCGGGACTCGGTAACTGAGCCATGACAACTTGGACGATGGTGATTAGTGTCAGTGTTTCTGACCTTGAAATTCGGCAACTGTGCTAGAACTCATCTAGGTCCCGCTCCCTCTACTTTTCTCCCGCTTCCCCTCTTCTCCTCCTCCTCCTCCTCCTCCTCTTCCTCCTCCTCCTCCTCCTCCTCCTCCTCCTTCCCGTCGTGAGTCGAGATCATTGCTTTCTGTCTGAGGTTAAGACATGGCGCCAATCTTATCTTATCTGCCAACGTGTTATAATCCCGAATACGTCAGTCTCTGAACATCGCCGGTCGCTGCTCATCCGCGACCTCCATGTCCGCGAGCCCATCCAGTCCTTCTAGTCGTCGTTCATCACATTCAACACATCCTCCTCGCTGGCGACGAACCATCTCCGCGACAAAGAGCCAGCAGCCAGCCAGTATTTCGCTAGTCTACGCGCAGCCCGAGCAAGGTTCGAAGCTGCGCTCCGCAATTGACCAGCTACCCGCCCATGCGCTGGACGACAACTCGAGCTCGTCGAGTATCATGTCGAAGAAGCGGGAGCGCTTGTCATCGACCTCTACAGCTGGGAGAGAAACAGATATCGGGGAGGGCGATGTGGACCGCAAACGCACCCGAACTCAGTCCGCGGCTGCGCAACATCTTAGTCCAGCGTTGATCCCACCACCTGAGGAAGAGGCTGTACAAATTTTGCCCATAGACGACGCAGACAGTCGTAAGTAATGGCAACGTGCATGCTCGCTATACAAGTCCTCGGTTCTGATCGGCATGATTGGATAGCTACAGCACCCTCTGACGCGTTGACATCGCCACCACCGACAACCGGACTATCAACGGAAACGGCTGCAGTGTCCACAGAGGCGGTGCCGTTTCCCAGCTCCGAGCGCGAGCCGAAGCAACTGTCAACTCGTTCGTCGTGGTTCGGATCCTTGTCTCGCGCTAGAGGAAAAGACACAGTGAGAAGTGAGGAAACGCAAAGCAGGCCGACCGCGGAAGATGCTCTCAAACTCGACCTTGATAAGGTCAGTGAACAACCGAGAACGGTGCCCGTCTCGAGTCAAGGCGGACAGAAGGACCCGAGTGCGGAATCCGACACAGCCCGGCCGCAATCCATTACAATGCCCCGGCCGCCTGTTCAGGCGTCACAGGCTACGCCTAGTCCATCCTCCCCGGGACTGCCGACGATTTCCGCTTCCCGCATCGGCGCGTCTCCTTCCCTCATGTCAGTCGACGAGGAAGTCCCTCGGGCGAGACTTGCCACAGACAGCCCGCCCATGGAGATGTTGCGTGCACAGGTGCAGCCTCAGGATGACCCATCGATGGGGCGCAAGCCTTCCATGTCTGACTTGAACCCGTCGACGAGCCGTTTCACGCTGCGAATACCTTTGCTTGGACGTCCGAAGGTCCCGTTGCAGCAGGCTGTGAAGAGTGCGGAAGTGAGTGCACAGCTGGATGGAGCGACGTCTGGGAGAATTGAGGTCGCGAAGGATGGAGTGAAGGATGCTGCGGGTACGTAGTGCAATGCGCACCGAAAGCACAGCTGATGACATCTGTCCGTCAGGTCAATTACAGTCTTCGACATGCGCCGGCGAGCACAAAGTTGGGGAGAGCAATGGTGACTCAGTTCAAAGTGAGTTACCTCACGGCACTCCGTGCCTAGCGCTAGTATAGATAACAATGGCTCTGTACCACCAGCTGAAGAGTCTCAGCCACCACCTGGTACACCTCTTCCAACAAAGATTGAGCGGGCAATGATGAGCTCAATCACTGCACCAGATCCTGAGCCACCTTCGTCTGGCGCTTCGGCTACCGAATCCACTCCCGCGCGGTCACCAGTATCTGAGGCGCCCACTCCGGAATTGTCTGCGGATGGGCCATCGACATCGCCGAGGCCACCTTCTGATGACGAGACGCCGAAGGCTACTGATCAGCAGGCACATACGTCGTCCTGGTGGGATTATGTAGCCTGGGGTTCGGGCACTCAGCCTACTTCGGACAGACCTACGAAGCCGGAGGCTCTCATGATTGACACGGTGAAAGCAAATGCCGAACCGGAGCTGACATCTCCTACATCCCCTGCCCCGGAAATGGCCCAGACGGCTTCTACGGCTTCTGCACCTGCTGCTGTAGCGAGGTCTCCGGCCCAGGAGGCGCCACCTGACATGCAGAAGAGCACGAGTGCCGATGGTATCCGGGAGGGTCCATCTCCTACCAGCCGGAAACCGGCATCGATACTGTCTGCTGAGACTGCCAAGAGCCATAACTCAGTTTGGTATTCACCGTGGGGTTGGTACAACATGTCTCCCAACCCCGCGGATGCGGGCCCATCTACGGTCCAGGTCACTGAAGCGACGGAAGACGAGCGTGGCTCAAGCGGACGCGTCAAGTCAGAGTCCGAGATGGTCAAAGAAGAGGCACTCGCTCGTGAAGATTCGTCTGACGACAAGACAGACATAACAGAGCCTCCTGTCATAGCGGTCGCCTCCGATCCGCCACCGCCCGCCGACAGCACGACGTCTCCGTCGACGGAATCACAGAACCCTATCGAATCGTCAATCACCGCGAGTCGCTCTAGCTGGGTGTCGTTCTTCATGTCCAAAGCCTTGCTCACGAAGACCATATCGGACGATGGACAGGAGAAGGATGAGAACGGCATGGAGGTGATGAATGTCGACGAGGAGGAAGAAGACAAACAAGAGGGACCTTCCGCTCCCGTAGCTATCGCGTCAGGCAACGACCATCTGCAGCCGCGGCCAGCGTCTCCCTCTTCGAAGGCGTCTCTGCCTTCCGCGAGGCGCGAGCACGCCCACAAGAAGTCCATTGGCTCTGTCTCCGCCGTGGAAGGACGGAGGAGTGACTTGAAACAAGGTACTGCTCGGTCGCCTTCTCCGGCGCCGTCCAGAGCGTCCAGTGTCGCATCCGCGACAGTGCCCCGGCCACCGTCTCTCAAGAACTTAGTGCTTCCGACTTGGGAGCAGATCTTCCTATCGCCGCCGCGCTCGCTCGTCCCGCCGAAGCCTCGGGGAAAGTCGAAACTCGCAAAGGTTTCGAAGACGTTCTCACTCGTGAGCGATGTGCTCTTCAGTAGGGACGACGAGGTCGAGGGCAAAGGCAAGGGGAAGGCCAGGGAACGGGAGCGGGAGGCGAAGTTCATTCACCTGGGCAAGGAGCTCCCGAAGGCGCTGGACGTAATTGGGGAGACCCTCAACCCATACATGCTCAACGGAGGCTGTAGGGTAGTCGTGATCGGTGTGGCTGGGTGGTCTCCTGGTCCGTTGTCGAATTCTTGATGATTTGCTGATGCTGATGCTCTGTTTGTAGGGGCGGTGACTAGGACGCTGGCTGGTGGAGTGAGCCTCCACCTCATATGGTGCTGTAAGAATCTGTCTGACCTAGATCCGTACAGCTACCATCGTCTAGTACCAAGTTCGTGGACATGACCTGTCAAGCACTGGATCAGTTTGAGCAGGAACACGGTTTCAAGTTCAAGAAGATCACTAGGGTACCACTGGAAGGCGACGGAACCATCGAGCGCAAGGTGTCGAAGTAAGTCTGAAGATCGATGGTATCCCGCGTGTTAGTCTCATCGCGCCGTCTTCCACGTGTCTCAGGGTGCACGACCAGTTGCTGTCAAATGAGGACTGGATGGAAGATCTTCATGCGGCAGATGTCATCTTTGTGGCTGCGCACTCACAAGGATGCATCGTCGCCACACATCTGCTTGATCGTTTGGTCCGCGATGGTCACATTCTCACGTCGCGGAGCGTGGACACTTTGACGAAGACAGCCGCTGCAGTGGTTCCGGGCGGTGCTGCTCAGCCAGTGACTCAAGCTCAGCGAATCGGCTTCCTGGCGCTGTGTGGGATTCACCTTGGACCATTGAGGTACCTCGGGATAAGCTCGCTATTACAGCCATATATTCAGGTGTGCATCTCGTCGTTCGTGGCGGCGAAGAGGACTGACACAAGGACTAATTCAGTATTTCGAACATGCCTCGGCACGGGAGCTGTTCGAATTCCAGGTACTATAACTGATTGGATCCACATACGGCCTCAACTCACTGCTTGTCAGAACACTCAGTCCCGTTTATCGAAGAACTACGTCAAAGCGCTCAAGAATGTTGTTGATCACGGTGTAAGTGGGGCTATCAAGCACAGGATATTTGATTCTCATCCCTCGTAGGCCAAGATAGTGTATATCGCTTCTCTGAACGACCAAGTTGTCCCTATCTATTCTGGTCTATTCACAGCAGCTTCGCACCCTCGAATTTTGCGCGCTTTGTACATCGACGGTGATGCATATCAGTGCGTCCTTGTAGTTCACATTTGCCGTCTGGCTGCTTACGGATGTCATACGTCTAGTTCTTCCGACTTTCTAACCAATTTGCTTGTCCTGCTTATCCGGATCTTGAACGCGGGCCTGTCCGATGGTGGCCTGCTGTTACATTTGTCCGAAGCTACAGCTGGCACATTGAGTGGCATCGGCCACTCAACCGTGTACGAGGAGCTCGCCACATTCTCGTTAGTCTATGTCTCGTGCCAGCAGGCATCCGGTACTGATGAATCACGGCAGCTTGGCAGTGAAGTACTTCTTCCTAACCAACGATGGTGATACAGAGCATGCGGACCTCAACATAGATTCTTTCAATGCTGTGGAGGAACAGAACGACTATGAGGTGCGTCCATCTTGTGGTTATTAGACATATCAAATAGTGACTGTGGTCGAACATTCCATAGATTCCTTGGTCACTTCGTGATATGATCGCCGACGAGCGAGTCGCCCATTTATTTGCGCGAGAGTTTGCCCAGCTGCGAGACGCATTTGATGACTGGCAGCCGAAGACGACCATCCTGCGGGAAGTCAAGAAGAAACTGCAGCCAATCCAACGCCTGAACTCTTTCACTCCGTCCAACAGCAAATTATAATGAACTCCATTGTCGCATTTTCTCTCGTATTTGCATCGCGGACATGCTGCATCTCCTCACGGTATCAATTGTTGTACAGCTAGAGCACAGGTTACATACGCCGATGATGATATTGCTATACACGGTGTCTAATGTTTCTTTCCTCGTCATTTGCATAAATCCAGTGGTTTACACATTCTAAGACGCTCGCATGGATCGAAGGCAATTATGCACGTCGGTCATTCCCCATCCGTCATAGATCTACTATCATAAACGTGGAGATCACTTTGATAAGAGCCATGAACACGGGCGATGGCTGAGATGGCGATGTCGCGGCAACCAAAGAGTTTGAATGACCAGCAACCCTGGCCGGTCACCATGATTGGCCGAGGTATGGAACATGAATCGCGACTGGATTCACCGACCCAAGACATTGCTAGCCTGGGAGCAGATCTGGCGCTCAATATACCGAGTCAGTATCCCAGATCCTTTGATGTACGTGTTGCAGACAGGTATGGAAGAACACCATGACCCACTGAGCTTGCTCGTCTCAACCACGGCGCTGCGCTGGCTGCCATCCTCAGAGCAGTCTCCAATGGAACGGCCTCCTTCTATCTCATCTGTCGACCTGCCTGATTGTCAGTGTTTCGATGAAATGTGGCGCATCTCCATGTAGCCAGTGCAATCACAATGATCCTTACACTGCTTCTCGAGTGGGTCTGCCCATTCAGAGCCATCTGTAGGACCATGCGAGAACGGAGACCAGGCATACGATGCCAAGTGACAGACAAGTCCACGGATACCATAACGTATGGACTAACTCACCTGGAGATCATTGCCTATGAGTCCTGGGAGTGAGGTCGCGCACAATCGATTACGCGAGTTTCGTACGCACCTCATACGTTGCGACCACATCAGTGTCTGCATTGGCATCCACCGCGTCCGCGGAAAACAAGCCCGAACAAAGTGCATGTCGGCCATACAGTGACGGCGGAAGTCGGGCGATACCATCGAGTTGCTGTCTGCAATGCTCAGGGGCCCATCCCTTGTTCAACACAGCCGTGTTCACAGTCCGTACGCGTGGCGCGCAAACATGTAGCATCAGCATTTCCGCGCGGAGACTGTAGGACATCTCTTGACAGTATTAAAGCACAGGTTACCGCTCAATCAGGGAATCTTCCCTTCATCCTTGTGCAAACTGTCTGGGCCTGAATGCCAGCGCCCTCCTCTGACCTCTCCTCTCGCACGGCATCTTCAGTGCTCGGCCATGTGTTAGTCCCCTGCTATGATAAGAACGACTTACAAAACCTTAGCATTCTATAACGTGCCCCACACAGGAACCTCATGATGGATACATTCATCGCTAACGCTAACGCGGAAGAGTGAGTCCCCCATTCACGAAACAGTGGAGGGCTGAAGCTCACCTCGGCGAACAACGTTCTACAGTCTCCGTGCGATCGTACGAGGGATGATCGCGACCAGCCCCCCGGCATCGGCATCGAGCCTTGCTTCACTGGCGCGACGCAGGCTAGTACAAACCGGAGCCCCGAGCGTTCCTTCACCGGACGGCCTATTCATTTCCGATACATCGCGCGGTTTAAGTGCACCTACCGATAAACTGCGACAAGTTCTATCACGAGTCCGAGCTCTCTACGGAGCCGGACTCGGATTCGCGAGTCTGAAGATCCTCGCGGTGATCGTAAAGGCGGCGGAGGGCGTAAAGTGGATGGAAGGAAGCGAGTTGGAGACGCTGCTTGCGGCGATCGACGTGGACATCAGTCAGGCCATTCAGAGCTGCAAGGAAGAGGCGGACAGTGGGAGGGTGACGAACTTGGCATTCGGGAGGGCGGCGGTGAATGAATTGCGCGCTGCTGTCAAGGGGAACAGGATGGTAGTGGTATCCGGGGTGGGCGGTTACCAATTCGAGCAGGGAGAGAACGCGCTAGACTACTGGAAGATCTAAAGTTTATTTGCGCTCGGAGGACTCGATACATGCAGAAGTCAGCGATCGTCAGCAATACTGGCAAGGCTAGACCACATACCAAGAAGATGATTGACTCTGTGATAGCATGATACATCGACTCGGAGGTGATTCAGGTGCGGACAGGTTGGCCTCCATCATATGCTTAGCATATTGATTAGAGTAAACATGGCGCTGCGAATATAATTATCGAGCATTTCTGAGACTGTCAGGCTCGACATTAAAGCACTGACGACTCTGGGCCTCTCTGGCGATGGACGTACGAGGGCAAGTTGCAATTCTGCCCAGATTCTGACGGTGGGAATGGGAATGGTAGCTCACGTGCAATGCTAATAATAGCACCACTGAGTACTGAGTTACGAGTCGTTCGAGATCAGTTGACCCTCGCAATTGAACTCACGCATGAGCATAATGATGTTTTCTTCAGCTCCTGGTGCACTTGTTCGGTTCTGCTAGTACACTTTGCCAGTGCCGGTCTTCGACTGAAAGGGCGGATCAGACATTGCTCACCGTGCATCCGAAGTACAAATGTTTGGGATTCATGATGACATATAATACACGAGCAGCAATTTCGAGCGCCCAGGGCGTCATGATCATAAGGCGTAAGTCTCGGTATGCAGCCCTAAACCGCCCAGCTCCAGTCCTTTGGTCAGACTCAACTTCGCCGCGGCATTACGCGTCTCCGTCGTGAGCGACTCTGGCCCTGCAGCACAGACGGCCACTCCACCGCCCAAACCGACCCAAGATAGCTTCGGCTGTTCAGCAATCTCCTCTTCCGTCGGTGGGGTGATGAACTGGTGGAGCAGGTTGCCGATGGTAGGACGCAAGAGGACGACGTCGGAGTTAGGGATGGTGGGGACGGCGTCGGGGTTGCAGAGGCAGGTTACGAAGATGGAGATGTGGAGGTCTAGTGATGTGCCAGCGACGGCGGTTGCGAGGTCGGTGAGCATTTGTGCGTGCCAGTTGATGCACCCTAGAAAGCAGCGGTGTCAAAGCGAGTCACTGAGGAGCGTGTGCAGACCAGCTCACCGTACGATTGGATACACCAAACAAACTCTATGCGTCTCGTCCTCTCGTTGCCTGGGCGGCCGAACTTCACGCAGCGCGCAATGATATCGTCCAGTAGCGATAGTGTGAACGTCGCACCCGAACCACCGGCAATCAGAAACGCGCTCTCATATCGACCCAAGTCGATGCTGCACCCGCCGTACGGCCCATCCAGCATAACCTGTACAGGGATGCCAGGTTGCTCGCCTTTCTCGCTTCCTAGCAAACGCGCTTGTTCTTCTACGGCGTAAGCGTTCAGCGCACGTGTCCAATCACCCTTTGCCTTTGCGGCGAGCGAGAGGGTTTGCGAGGGAACACACGAGACGGGCGAGGGTGCGTTCATGATCGTGAGTGGGTGCGACTCGAAGATGCGTCCATCGAAAAAGACCCGCAGACGGACATGCTGACCCGGTTGCCAGCCCTTCGTGCAGTCATGGACGTGGATCTAAGAGGTGGTTAGCACTGCTTTTGGGGAGGGCCTGCGTCACGCACAATGGTCATGTTCTGGTCCATGGGTACCAGCGTCGCGTCCTTGATACGGTACTTGAACAGCCTCAAGAGCATGTCGAGGCCGTAGAACGCAAGCGGAGGGTATACCCACGTCCATGCATACTCTGTGTGGTAGCAGATAGAGATCGTGAACGAAACGTAGCCAAGGACGCTAACGTGAACGTCAATATACGTCAGATACAAACAGGCAAGGGCAGACTTACTGAGAGATGAAGAAGAACTGGTAGAAGTAGTACCGCACGGGTTTCAGCGAGAAAAGCGTGATACCGCAAAGGACACCGAGCGATGCCACGCCCGACGTCTCCTTCTGCTGGCCAAGAATGGGCAGGCCGAATTCCAGGTGATTGCGGATCCAGAGCGCCCCGTGGATCACGCCGCCAATAAGCATGCCGCGGCCGGCCCATCGGTGCAAGAAGTTCAATTTCTCATAGCCGTTCCCAGGACCGAGAAGTAATGAGAGGACGGAGTTCTTGGTCCCGAGCAGATAGACAACCGGGAATTGTGCCAGGGCGAGGAACCCTGAGTACAGAATTAGTACACTTTGTCGAGGTCAAAGACCAGTAATAACACACCTGCTCGGTTTGGATTCGTCACTAGAGGAGCATCGGTCGTAATACAGACGATCACCGCAACAAGATATCCTGCCACGAGAAGGACTGTGGAAGTGATAGAGATCAGCGAGCGGGTTATAATTTGGCGAGATGAAACCCTACGCTGGCCAAGGGTCAGACCAACAGCGGGGACAGTCCACCAGAACAGTGATGAGACAGTCTCGACTAGCCCATAGAATGTCCGTCTCCTTGTTCTAGGTTTCACGTCTGCGTCCCCGATAGTCGCATAGCGCTGTGCAGCGATACTCTCGGAAACGCCGAATAAACCACGCAAGGCCCCTCCATGTCTGAGCGATCGAATAAGATGGGGAAGCGAGAGCAATATCGCGACGCCCGCGACGGCCGCCCAAATGGCTGAGAACTTCCTCTGCCATTTCGGGTCCTCGACGTAAGAGCTGGGGGAGCATGACCGTGAGCACCGATTTTCCCAAGTCTTCCACGCCTCAACGCGGTGGCTGAGCACTCACTTGTACTGCTGCAGCGCAGACGGGATAGACGGCGGCGTACCGTACGAAGACATGGCTGCCCTACACACCCTCTTGCGATCCAAGGATGATGAGGATGAAGGGGAGTTGGGTTGCCTAGTCCGGGTGGCTACTGCCTACAAGTGTGGCGGACGTGAGTTTGTCCCGGCCAAAGTTTGGTGAAAGACTTTTTCCTCCTGCCAATCGGGGGTGACTGATCCCGCATTTCAATCTTATCAGTTTGCAATTGACTCCTCCCTGTTGCGATCTTCGGTCTAGAAGTTCTAGTTTGTGCGCCCGCCCCTCAAGGCCTCATTGCTATGACTGCGCGCTACGCGGCCGACAGCGACGGTGACGGCGACGAGGAACGGCGGCGCAGCAGGAGAACGTCCACATCAGATTGCGCCGCCGCGAGGACCGAAAGGCACAATTCTCTACCAGCACAACCAGAGCACGTTCAAGTTCCGGACCGACATCTGAAGCTAGGATGGCTAACACGTTGACACGGCGAATGATAGAGCAGTCATTATGATACATCCGATAGTCATGATGCGAAACATCTTTTCGTTCGAAAGGCGTAAGAATAGCTGGACAACGAGAAGGGAAGAGCGAGAGATAGCGCAGGATGCACGTCGAAGGAACCAACAGCCTATAGTACATAACTCCATTACAATTCAGAAGATCTTCACAGATGCACGAGCTCAATGTGGGACGCGAACCGCCCAAAAAGCATCTCTCCGACACCGAGCCCAACGATAAGCGAGAAAATGAAGCCCAATTGGAACGTCCTGCAAGAACGGCGAAGCAGACTATCAGCAACTGACCTCGGAGACGACGATAACAGGACACACATCACAGCGAGCATGAACGCGTAGTTCAGCGCAACTTGCACCATAAGCAAAATGCCACGCGGCAGCTCGTGCTTGAGGATGAACGGCGCAGCGGAGCGAAGGCCGATAGTTCTGGGGAGAGTCGAATGCAGGACGGGCACGCTGAGGGAGGAGGTAGACCTCTTCTCATCGACAGCGGATGATCTAGTCGTCGGTAGGCTAGCATTGCTACCCGTATTGAGCTCGACAACGCGAGCCCTTCAGATAGATGAGCACCTTCCACACAACGCTTTGCAGAACCGACGTACCGTTGCGCCCAATGCGCCTGCATAACCGCCCTCGCCGCGGCGATCCACCTCTCTACCATCGCAAGCAGGAATAGCCCGATACACGCTCCCACCATCGCGCCCGCGCTCCCTGGCACCCATCCCTGGAACCACAAAATGTCTCCCGGCGTGAAATGCAGATACGTCAACATGTTGCCCGAGGCGAGGTCCATCGCGCCGTCCATGGACATGTCCATGCCGTTGCTCGCCGCCTGCGCAACTGGAGCGAAAAGTGCGCACAGACAAACGAGGTAGCACATGCAGGAGGGCATCACAGAGCGACAGCAGCACATCGTTGAGGGAGGAGGGCGATACAGTTGCCGCTAGAGCGAAGACGACGAGATGCGAGGCTGTTTAAGCGAGAAGTCGAGCTAGGCGCTTACGTAATCCGAGCAAAGCAAAACAAACACCGGATACGGTAGGCGCCGAAGACGATGGTCAGTCGCCGTCGGTGTTCGCCAAGTCCTGCGGTTCCGACGCATGCAAGTGGATTTCTCTAGTGGATCTTCCCTGTCTTCGCACAGAAGTGTGATGCGAGAACGCTGCAAGGGGGTGTCGCCGATTCGGCTTGAACTCTTCACCGGATGGTATCCAGGGCCTGTGGGTGCGCGCGGACCGCATCCGGGCGCGTAGTCAAAACGGCGGCATGGCATTCGCCATCGACATCGGTCGGAACGTAGCACGCAGTTCCCGAGTCAGGGCTGTAGTACGTCCCCGAGTATGTAGGGTGCACGACGCACGTCAGGAGGGGCGCCCCGGGAGGAGTATATCGGAGAACGAAGCCCGCGACAGGGCACGCACCATGGACAGCGGGCGCATCGGTGACGGTGGTATCGATGGGTACCAAGTTGTGAAGGGCCTGCGATGCACCACGTAGCAAGTGCAAGCCAGGTGCTCAGAATAGCAAGCCGAAGCCCCCGGCCGGCAAGTGGTCCAGAGACCAAAAGATAGGCGCGAGCATGGAGCAGTACGTTGATCCAGAGGTGAGGCCTGCGATAAGAGAGCATGTGTATACTGAATCGCGCCGGTGGTAGTTGAAGACTGGTAGCAAGAATGGCCACGCTGAGCAGCCACGAAGGAGAAGCAGAAGAAAGACAGTCGGGGTTAATTCATCTGGGCGTCGGCGAAGTAAAGAAAATAGTTGAGTGCCGTCAGGGATGACTAGATGTCCACAGAGTCCGAGAGGCATCGATAGAGCAACATACAGAAGTCGCAGATTTGTCGTCATTTCTTGAGCCAGGGAAACCGGCCGTTCGTGCAGGTGCCACAGAAACAGTAGAGCAATAAGGACATATCGAGCTTCGTGAGGTAATCCCCCACTCAATACGCCTCCGAGGCGGCCAGCATGTTCAGATATAGGCGCTGCACAGAGCCAGAGCTCCGGACAGACGCGCCGTATATGCTGTAAGATGACTTACCGTGCGGTCGAGCTTCGTGAGGGTGTCCTCCCACTCGACAGGTCAGTGGGCAATCGTGCGAGAAGGGAGACATACCTGTCTCCGTTACACTCTTTATCCCTCACCCTGTCGACAGCAGACTATGCTTCGTGAATCTCGACTGCTACCCAAAACCTAGATATCATGGCAATGCCCCACCGTTCGTCCAATACGCATAGTCGTATTAGTGTCGAGGCCTTGTGACGGTCGTAGCTTGTTCCAGATCTCAGAGGGAAGACTAAATGAAGAGCGTCGTTATCTCCGAGTGGGAGAGTGGCTTCGAGGACAGACTATATGCGCCCAATGTCCACCGTCGTATTGATCATCGTGGCGGTGAGCAGGATGTTCCGCATGTTTCAGGTCAATGCGTCTCGCTGGCACTCCACGAGCAAGGTGGCTGAGGGACGGAGGCGGACGTTGGTCGAGAACGCGGTGAGAGCGGCGACGAGATGGTAGACGGCAACTTGAACGAGCGAGCTGACGCGCTGACGAACTGTGACACCGCACGCCAGGCAGGCGAGGCATTTGTGCGCTGCGCTCATTTTGTGATTGGCTCGCGCGGGCGGAGTTCAAAAGTTCAATGAACCGCATTTGGAAGTAGACACGATGTCGTTGTCGCCTTGAGGTCCTTCGCACACATTGAGCATCTTTGAGCATCTCGAAAACTATCGCTTTGTGGGGTACCTTATATCTCTGGAACTAATGGAAGAGAACAGAATACTGTCTAAGTACTTATATTAATGTTGCTATTACCGTAGTCCTTGACCGTCCTAATCCCCACCGAGATCACATCATGGGTCACGGAATCGCACACTACCGTGTTGCCATTTTGTGTGAACTGTAGACGCATGTCGAACCAGGCTCCTAATACCAGCCGTCCATAGTGTTCTCGCTCGTACATGTCGAGGGGGGACTTCAGCCTATATACGAAAATATATAAAATGAGCGCTTATATCATATTAGACGCTCTAAAGTTTTGACTTACTATACTGGGGAACTTTTTTAGCCGAATTGACGAGGAGAACACTATAGGACGGCTGGCCAAACTTGTCCCCGAGGCATGGCCGAGGGGGCGCTTATTGACTAGTCAAAGCGACGTACCCCTACGCTAGGTCTTATTTACTGGAGTATCCGACTGGCGTGCGGTCGCGTATGTAATCAAGCTTGGGCGGCTGCCAAGGGCCCGCGCGATCGCAAATTGGCGAAAAGAAATCAAAAATTGATGGGGATTCGAACCCGTGCGCTGTAAAAGACGACCATGTGCTATAACCACTCGACCATAGCAGCTACATAGGTTCCTCGACAGCACACAATAAGAGTACCGTACAGCTTGTGGGCGCTATATCCGTACGCCCTGCTGTTAGAAGGGGTGACGATGATAAGAACTCAGCAGTCATTGACTAACTGCCAGAGGCAACTCCTACACGGACACCAGAAAAATCATTGTGTGCTTCGCTGATGTGCCAGGCCGCGCACTTCCCGCAGACGGCGCCGACAGGTGACAGCAGGTGACAGCAGGGCGTACGAGAATAGCGCCCACAAGCTGTACGGTACTCTTATTGTGTGCTGTCGAGGAACCTATGTAGCTGCTATGGTCGAGTGGTTATAGCACATGGTCGTCTTTTACAGCGCACGGGTTCGAATCCCCATCAATTTTTGATTTCTTTTCGCCAATTTGCGATCGCGCGGGCCCTTGGCAGCCGCCCAAGCTTGATTACATACGCGACCGCACGCCAGTCGGATACTCCAGTAAATAAGACCTAGCGTAGGGGTACGTCGCTTTGACTAGTCAATAAGCGCCCCCTCGGCCATGCCTCGGGGACAAGTTTGGCCAGCCGTCCTATAGTGTTCTCCTCGTCAATTCGGCTAAAAAAGTTCCCCAGTATAGTAAGTCAAAACTTTAGAGCGTCTAATATGATATAAGCGCTCATTTTATATATTTTCGTATATAGGCTGAAGTCCCCCCTCGACATGTACGAGCGAGAACACTATGGACGGCTGGTATTAGGAGCCTGATGTCGAACAGCGTCTATAACAAGAATAGTAATAAAGACACTCATCATCTTGACAGCATTGCTTAACACTCACTCGCCTTGTCCGACAGTACCACTTGAATCACCGAACGTCAGCACAACGCGTGTAGCACAACAACAGTGCGCACCGCATTCCACACTGCCCGCGATCAGCCCGCCTTGAAGAAACGTCCGACCTATTGTATGGCCGAACTTCATTGCACTGGATCGTCGACGTCAATGTACGTCCAACCAGACAGACACGGGCGGCAAGAATCCGGCGCAAGCTTCTATATTTCCTCAGTCGATCTTCACGCTGATTCCAATTGACCGCGAGCGTCTTGATATCACACTTGCAGGATCGTCGCCGGAAGGTTGCACTGGAAGTCGTCAACCGTGACACCGGTGGGCACGCTACCGGAGCGTTTGCTTCTAGTCTGAAGTCATTTCGCGCGTGGCCGCTGAGGAAGTTGACCGTGTCCGCAGCACGAGCCCTGACGACTTGCAGCAATTGAAACTGACCGCCCCGCCGCGTCTCGGACGCTCATGGGAGGTAAGCATACATCTCTACAAGGCTCAGTGCGCATCCGACATGCTGGCTCGCCTCTCGTAAAGGCAGTCGCGTTGATTCCCCATAACCAAGTTCCCGAGAGTCAGTGAACTGACCTGGTTTCAATGTCCAGATGATCTGGCAATTCCACGGCCAGTGTATTGAAATCCGCACTGGTACGTTAACCCCAGCATCATGGATTGTTGTACCGAGACCGCGTACCGCCATGTGTGACCATGTTTGTGATCGCTCGAAAGTCTTTCCCAGCAGTGCACTAATGCACATGACTCCGGGCTGACTGGGAGAAGTAGCAGTTGAGTAGACGTGGAGATGAGTCTGCAGCTGGCCGCGCGAGACGCGTTCCTGTCAGGTTGCAAACCAACTGCAAACACGCCACTCGGGTCCCTTCGGGCGTCTATTACCACTTTGACGGACCACCACCCCACTTGGCTACCCATCCACTGCTATGCAACCTGCTGCTGGGGTCGTGGCCTACCATCTGTGTTTCCCTGCACCTCTTGACTCTGACATGTCCGGTCTTAATGAGTAGACTTGAGCGACTTGCTCGACTGTAGCCATTCCCGCCCTCGCGCTGCGCCAGCAGGTCGATTCCAGGTCAACCGGGTAGCGGTCATGTTTTCTAAACCTTTCGAGGCCTTGGGATGTTCAGTTTTCCCATACTTCGACGTTGCTCAAGAGCCTGCAGCGCCGGGAGGAGGAGTCTCGTGAGCAAAGGGACATCCGATCCACGAGACCTCTATCGCGCCTTGATCTTCCGCCCTCCTGTCTTTCGCCCTTCAACGCAACCATCGACCTCGATTCTGTTGCCCACTCGTCGTCGGTTGATCTGCAACAAGAGTTGTATGGGGGAGATATCCGGAGATATGGGTGTGAATGGGGCATAACACTGAAGCGTACGTGGTTTTCTTGGTTCGATCGCTCGATGCGGAATGTGCAGTAGAGCATTATGAACTCGCCAGCGGCTCGTTACTGAATGCGAGCTTCACAGAAATTTCTAAAGCTTTAGAGAAACAATTTTTTGCGCGACGGCGACGACTTACCATCGCGGTCACCGGCTCGTCGTCATCACCGTCAAGCTGACCGTTGGCGGACAAACAAAGCCTCGTAGTTCTTCAAGCACAGGTTCGGAAGCTCATCCGACCGAACAGGCCTTCGTGCTCTCGGTTCAGCTGTCGGACGGCGGTCGAATGGTCAAGCTACGGACGGACATCGAGATCTCTATGTGCTTCGTCTGCCGTTGGTAAGTCTCATCATATACGACTTTGTGCACCGGTATGAACCACCTGGAGTTAAAGTGAGCTCTGTTATGTGCGCGTGGCGTTCCCCTCCAGTCTTCGACCGAGGCCACCTTCAGTGCGAGGGCGCAGACCGCGTTGTGGGATCGAGATAGCAACGTGAGTGAGTGAGCGATCGCACTGCCTACATTTCGTTCCGAGCACCACTTACCTATCATTTGCGCCAGATTTCTGGGCTCGCCTCTCCTCAAGAAACAATGACACACGAAGAACGGCTCCCGTCTGGCCGGATCATCTTCGCAAAAGAATGTTTCGATTAACAAGACCACAAAACTTGCCATGTCAAGACATTCCAACGTGTCCGTACTTGACAATCAACGTGGATGAGCTACGAGGCAGCTAAACACGTACCTGGGTCGCGACAAGACGAGTGGCGTTCATGCGACGAGCGTTGCCACACGACCTTCCGAGGTGTAGTGTGCGGCGTCTGATCCCGGCCTATGTGAGTCTTTTGTCTTCTCGGAGATAGTTGCAATTGATGGCCTCCGGCAATGATAGAGGAAGGAGAACAAGAGACGAGGACGGGCACGAGCAGCCTCATGTCGATATGGGCGTCTACGCGCTGTTGAGGCGCGACGCGTTGGTCACGGGGACACGACGCGTTGGGTCTGCGTATCTGGGCCTCGCATCGTCTGGACGGTCAAACGGGGGCATATAATGGTGTGGTATAGATCGAGTCCCCTCGTATCTACCGGCGAAGCCATAATCCCGCGGTTTAGCCCATGGGCAGTCGGACTCGGGCGCTGACGTCGTCGTGGCATCGCACTCGCTTGCCAGAAGAAAGAAATGGGATAGGAGCAAAACTGATAATACAAGACGGTACACTGCTCGAGCCGTTTTCCGAGCATCCCTTTCCTTGGCGCTATATGCTCCGATATGCCTTGCATTGTGCCACACCCTCCCCCACGCGACAGCCCTAACTCGTAATTTGCTGAATGCCCTGGTCGATTGCACACGCTAAAAAGGAAGAGCTCGTCAATATAGACTACCCATGGCACGTATAAGGACTTCAACTTACCCGCTGCGAGGACAAGGTTGCCTGCTGCCCGTCGATTCACCCCTACTTCCTGCTTTCGCTCTGTCTCTGCCCCACGCTTCTGACCACGTCCGCCCAAGTCCTCACGCGCGCGCTAGCATCCGGGATGCTCTGGAGCGTCGCTGAGCTCTGGGTGCTGCCGGAGTCTGTGCGGTGGTGGCGGGCAGTCGGCAGCCCTGACACAGAAGCCCTACGGAGCGTACTCCCAACGATGCGTTCGGTCTCATCAATGGCCGTCGAGGTTTCCAGTATCTCATCCTTCCGCCACGCCAAGGAGTCTATCGCCCTTCGGATGGTACCGCCAGCCATAAACTCGGCTTCGTCGACAGTCGTCGACGTTTCGACGATCTCGTCATCATTCCATACGAGGTTTTCGAGTGCATCGGGTGCGACGGCTGGTTCGTTAGCTTCATGTTCGACAACCAGGGTCTCGACGTTGGCTGTGGCGACCGGCTGGTTTGCGAAGAAAAGTGAGATCAAAAGATGTTACGGCTCTTGCTATGTCACTGACCTGCGGTGGCATTGCTGCCGTAATTTCGGTTGGTCTCAGGTGCATGACCTGGTCGGAGGAGTCTTCGTCCTGGCATAGCGTCGGCCAATGCACAACCCAGCTACACGGTGCGTCAGGGTCCCTCCACAAGTTCGCATATGGGCTTTGATAGAACACTCCGTTTGGTGCCAGCGTACTCCAAGACATACTGATACCATACGATCAGTGATGAAGAGACGATCTGTTGGGATATACCTCAGAACTTACTTGTGACGAGGTAACGACTTGGACGACGACGACAACGAGGATCGTCCAAAGGAGAATGTGGCAAGAGCTTGTGGGGCAACAGAGGCGCGCAGTGTTGTAGGGAAGGCGAGAAATTCCAATATTCTGCGCTTATACGAGGGCTGACGGCGCGTTGGTGGACAGACAAAGGAAAGATCGTAGCGGCGAGGACGAGTGCGCGACGGTTCGGTATGGGCGCTAATATGCGAACTATCGGTCACGGGATATGGACGCGTCCGAGGGCGTAGAAATGCCTCTCGGACGACGTCGGCAGTAAGGTATGACCTTGGATGCTCTGGAGTTGGTTGGCTCCTGCGCTTGTGACGTGATGGTCTTAAGTATCTGTCACATCGCTCACTCTCAAGAAAGAGTCCGGACGAAATGCGATCGGGGGTCCTTTAACTGTACAGCATAATACAACACTCGAACAACGCGTGGAGCCTCCATTGCGCGATATCGTTACCCCCTTGGCCTTGCATTATACCATCTTCAGTTACCCACGACAACTCTAGCCACGGGGGCCCAGCGACGGCTGAACACCACAAACAACGGCTTGTCAACACGCATCACAAAGCAGACCTAACGATCCCAGCTTACCTCAATGCATCAGCTACCAGAATAAGGAAGGCCATGCCCCTTGACGGGCAGGCTCCGTCTTCCTATTCTTGCCCAGGGAACCGAATCGAACCACGTCCGCCCAAGTCACTGGACGCACGATGTCCCCATCTCCGTGGAGGGTCTCGATACTGGCAGAGCTCTGAGTACTCTCAGAGCCCACCCGCCGGTGGGTGACGGCCCGTCCAGACCCCACGGTCCTCTCGAAAACAACTCCAGCGACGAGCGCTGCTTCATAAATGGTTGTTGATGTCTCCCAGACATCGTCGTCCCTCCACTCGCTGTTGCTCATGGCTCTCTGTAGGGAGCCTCCGATCGCGCCATCAGCCTCGTCTACGACCGTCGACGTGGCCAGAATTTCGCTGTCGTCCCAACCGAAGTTGTTGGGTGTCTCATCGATTTGTCTAGTGGCGGTAATTGCCTCGCCTTCGCCTGCCTGGAAACAAAGGTGAGGCTAAACCACTATACGGCTTTATGTTTGTGTCACTGACTTGGTGTTGCATGGCGGCCGTACTGGGGTTTTGTCTCAGGGGTGTTGTCTGATGCGAAGGATTCTGGTGTGTCGTCGCCCTGGGATATTCGGTCACGTTCCAGCTACTTGGTATGTCGACGTTCCAAATGTTGTCCTTCACGCCTTGAGAGAACAAGCCGTTCACAGCTAGCTCCTTCAACGGCATGCTATAACGATATGGTCAGCGATGAAGCGACACGGCATAGAGGATGGCATCGAAACATACTCGTGGGCCGATGGCGACGGCCACAACTGTGCAGTGCAGAACGAGGATAATGGTTGTGGAATACCAGAATCATGGGTAATGTATAGCGTCATTGTTTTTCTCTGGTTTTTGTGCTCGGACAGGTGCCAAGGGTGCAGAACGACGGACAAAGAATCGCAGTGGCGAAGACAAGTGCGCGATGGTTTGGTATTGGCGCTTAAATGTTCACTTTTGATCACGGGATCCCGACGCGTCTGTACCGCAAAAATGCCCCGCAATATCCGTAGACGATGTTGCCAGCGGTGCACCAGCCAAGGATCATGTTCTTGGCTCAATGCCGGCTCTTGCACTGTGGTGATCTCTGACACTGTTGTTGATATAGTCGCCCGCTCGAAGTTCTATGCCTCGCTCGCAGAGCGTGAAGAAGAACTGCAATCGGAGGCTCTCTACTAGTACAGCACTACACACTACTCCCAAATTGCCTTGCATCGTGCCGTGTCCGTCCCTGTGATGACTCTAGCCATGGATTCTAGCTGGCCGTCGAACGTGCTCGAAGAAGGCAGCCAGACTGTTCAGCACCACGAAGCACACATCGTCAACATGTGTCATGAACAGCAAACCCCGACTCAGGCTTACCATCGCGTCGGCCTAGAAGACCTGCGTGGATGAGTCACGCCTTCCGCGAAGTGGCCCTCACTACGTCTGCCCAGGTTCTCGAGCGTCCACTGACAATCTGTATATCCTCCTTGGGCAGGCTTTCGAGACTGGAAGAACTCTGGGTGCTCCCAAAGCTCGTGCGCCGATGGGTAGTGGGCCGCCCAGACCCTACAGTCCTATGGAAGGCACCTCGCGCCTCGTATATGGTTGTGGACGTCTCCACGGCGTCGTCGTCCATCCACCAGCCATCGTTCGCGGCCCTCCAGAGGGAGCTCTTGATCAAGGACTCGGCGATGTCGAGTCTTGGTGACGACTCTTGTATTTCGTCGTCGTTCCGAACACCGTCGCCCGGGGCAGCACCGATCTGGGGACAAAGAAGCGAGACCAGACACCATTACAGCTCTATGTGTGTGTCACTGACCTGGCATTGCATCGGTGCCGTACTGGTGGCTGGTTTTAGGTGCACGACCTGGTGTGGAGAGCTTCCATTCGCTGTTGTGCTGTTGTGCTGTGGCACGTTCCAGTTACTCGGTATGTCGATCCTCCAGACGTTGTCTTCTACGCTTTGAAAGAACAAGCTCTTCGATGCTAGCTCGGCAGAAGTCATTCTGTGATGGTCTGATTAGCGGTGAAGTTGCGACGCGAGATTAATCGCGTCGAGGCTTACTCGAATATCAGTGGCAATGAGGTGATGGGAGCAACAATTGCGGAGCGTACAAGACCAACAGAGGCTTCAAAGAAACAACTCTGTATGGGGAGACTAGAAAGGGCGATATGTAACGGTCTCCTCCTCTGGGATGGGTGTCGATGGCGTGGTGGTGTACAAAGGGGACAGTGGCGAAACGGAGAAGTGTGGCTTGGTGCAGTACGGGCGCTTACACGTCTGTTTGTCAGTCACGGGGTCTCGACGCGTCTGGGCGCGGAAGTCAAGCGGAAGTCACGAAGTTCATGGACGGTTGCACGAGCAATGTTTGAGACCGAAAGCGTGTCTTTCTCTGGACGGTGTATAGAGGAGGTCCGTGCATACCTTGCCGTGGCGTCGTTCTTAATCAGTTCAGTTCATAGCGCATATAAGTAGATAGTAAGCCCTACTTATAACAATCGATACTGCCAAATGCGCTTTTTCGAGCTCGCAATTTTCCCTCCCACTCCTATGTGTCTTCCTGTGATGTTCTTCTACCTGAGAGATGTGTGATAGACAGTACATCTACACAGAAACGCGAATAGCCCGCGCCTTGGGACTGACGACGCGGACGTACTGTATATTAAGCGCCGGTCCAGGATGTGCGTGTATCATCGTTGCTTTAAGCGCTGGTCAGCAGTTACGACGGTCGCGTTCGACCGCGACTCAGTCGACCACTCTCCCTCCAGACCTCATCCTCTCTCGTCTCATCCCGTGCTGACGATCTGTGCGTCAACGACCTGTGTCTGTCTTAGTCTCGACTGTGATACAGACATCAAAGTGAGCACATCTACCCAACATGGATGGGCGGTGGTCGCTCAGCGCTCAGCCTTCGGCGCACAGATTTCGTTGGTTTCAAGGTGACCGCGTACCCTCTCTACGCCCAACTATCCGCTTTTCGAGAGTTCTTCGTACGGCAGGACGATCGCAAGCCGGATGCGCTAAGGAAGCTCGGGTAGACGATCGCGAGCACGATGCTACCGACACCGCTGATCCCGCTTCCTCCTGAATCCGCAATCCCGCCTTCTGCTGCTACCACCTCAGACGCATCTTCCCAAGATGACCTCTTTGCGACACTATTCCAACCACCAACACCTCATGCGTCGCCTGCGCCCCCCGTCAAGCAGGACACCGCTGCGTCGCGGCCTGGCGCTCACACGCGCAACCAATCGACGAACTCCGACTTTGGCGCATTCGTTTCGGTACCCGCGACCGACGACCCACTTGGCTCCGGTAGTTCGAAAGATGGTTTCTCACCCATTGAAGGAATGCAGGCGGATTTCTTTGATCGCTTCGCGGAGGACGCCAAGGCGGCGAACGAGAAGAGCAAGCACGACGTGCTCGACGAGCTGTTGAAGGCGGAGAATGACCCATTCTACTTCCTGAGTTCGTTAGACAACGGTGAGCCCACCGCGAGTACGAGCAGGCATACAACGCCCATCCCCTCTCCGCTCCCAACGGGGCACTGCACGCCACAGCCGCAGTCCGAGGTCTCCCTCCTCGACCTCCTGCCCGACGCGCCCATCCCCGTGACCTCCCCATCGCCCTCTACTTCTCTAGACTCTTCCGCCGATACCCGCCAATCCCGCCAACTGCACCGACAAGACAACCGGTCCGAGCTGAACCTCTCACCTTCGTCCTCGCGCCCAACCGGCTTCGTCCGCTCGCCCTCCCTGCCGCCACCCACACCCCCACGCCCCGTCCCACCCGAGATACAGCCTGAGCGCGCGCAGGGCCAGTCGTTTTTCTCACCGCCCGCGTACGGCCCCGCCCGCTGGGTGTCCTCCCTCCTCTCCGGCACCGTGCGCTCCGGGCGGACGCGCTCCACGGACGAAGGGTCCGCACTCGCACACAACGGCACCGTCTCCGCGCCGCTCTCGCCTGCGCACGCATCCACTCTACCCGCGCACCTCTTCCAGTCAGCTGCGCTGGACTCCGCGATCACACACGGGACACCGTTCGCCGTGGCGCCGTTCGTGCCTGCGAGTGGCGCGCCGGGTTTCGACGGGGACAGGAAGTGGGACAAGGGCTTCTCAGACGCGTACGAGAAGAGCAACTCGGAGAGGAAGAGCGTGCGGCTGGTGGGGCGGAAGGAGATGACGACCCCGGTACTGACGGTTGAGCTTGCAGATATGGTGCGTGTGTGTTCAATTTCTGGTGTCTGCGCACGACTAATGCGTAGGTACCGGCAGCTGAGGCCGTATTTTCCGGCGCTGGCGCGACTGCCAAGGGCGTGGAACCTCCTGTACAGCCTGGACCAACATGGGATCTCGCTGAACACGCTGTACAGGCGGTGCGAGAACCATACGGGGGGCGCGCTCGTCGTGATGCGTGATTCGGGCGATGCGGTGTTTGGCGTGTGGATGGGGCAGGGCATACACCTGAGCAAGGGCGCGTACTACGGGAGTGGCGAGTCGTACGTCTGATCGACCTTGCATCGTCTGGGTGCGTGTCTCATTGCTGCTCGTAGGTTCCTCTGGAGGCTGCTGCCGGGCCAGCGTGTGAGGATATACAAGTGGACGGGCAAAAACGACTACGTGGCACTCTGCGAACCAGAGTACCTCTCGTTCGGTGGAGGGTGCGTATCCCGATTGATCTGCATTCAATCTTGGCTGATCCGTGCGTTGCAGAGATGGCCACTACGGCCTCTACCTCGACGATACCCTGAACGACGGCTCGTCCGCGCGATGTCCTACGTTTGAGAACGAGCCGCTCTGCTCCGCGGGGCCGAGGCAGGGGGAGAACGTCAGATTCGAGTGCGTCGGGCTGGAGGTGTGGGGCGTCGGATGATGTTGAGAAGGAGCCCATCGAGCTGGAGAGATCGGGCACGCCTGGTCTTGCGTTTCGGGGCTGCTGTACACTGATCGGATTGTTGTTATCCCCTCACATACACTCGCAATGTTTGTAGACTGTATTGCATACCGCACATGGATGTATTTATTGATGCGAACTCCTATATCGGGAATTTGGACTGTACATTGCTATCTACACGGTCAAAGCGCGTATGCGGACCTGGATCGGGGTCAGTAGTTTGCCTTCGAATGCGTGGACCCCACGAGGAGCACCTCATGGCTACTTGGTACGCCCAATTATGACGCTGGGAAGTAGCGAATAACAACCTGGAACTTCGTCGCCAAGTCTCTCCCCGCCACTGCGTCCTTTGTCCCTTTCTTCTTGACTACACTGGCACGCGCTTTGCCCCGTCTATTGTACAGCCTAGGCGGGAGAACCCCGTCATCGCCACTGGGAGCAAGGCTCGTGTATATAAGACGAAGTTGAGGGACAGTTGCGCTGTGTCGTCTTTCTACGCTTGCGCCACACACTCAGAACTGCATCGAACTATGTTACCTCGCCCGGCCCAGGACAACAAGAATGTATCGGCGATGTCTCCATCTTACAGGCACACTGGCAAAGGATACTACAAGCATAAAGGAATTTACAAGCACATAGGACCGGCCTACGATCTGAAGACGCCACAATGTAACTTGAAGAACACTCTCCAGCCGATCCCAGCGAAGACGGACCGAGCGAGGGATCAGGGATCCAAAACACTAAACCGGAGTTCGGTGAGCGATGCTGACATAGCCAGGACGTTCACAATGCTCACCTGGAGCTACGACGATAGTCCGCTTCCGATAACGAGTACCAGACGTGCTGCAATATGGTTCGAGGCGCACTAACCATTGTGATGCAAGAGCCGCCGTCCCAATCCGAGGTGGAAATGGAAGTGAAAAGACTCGAGCGGCAGGTCTGGATCAGTACGGCCCGGGAGGAGGTGCTGCGACGCATGGAACAAACGCGCTGACCGGCGGTGTACACGTGTGAGCACGAAGGCTGGCTGTGGTGTCTTGATGACCTTCACGATCTTTGATGTATCTTCGCGGCGACGAGACTGTATCACATAGGAATGAGGCGCATACAGTGTATCAGGAAATGAAGCTCGTTCATTCAGAATGTGACCAACGAGGCGCAAGTGCTCCATGCGCGAGGAATTTAGCTGCGGCGATGCTGCCGCATAGTTGCAGCAACTACGATATAGTGAGAGCCTCATAATCCGTGCTCTCACCTGAGAGTTTGTGAAAGCACCTTTGGCAGTCTCGCACGATTGTGACACGCGTGCCAGTGGCCTACAATCTACATACGCTGTTAACTGATCTGATCAAGAACGACGCCGCGGCAAGGTATGCACGGGCCTTAAGTCAAGAGGAATACTCACATACGATTTATGGCCGCAGAATAGGAAGGCGAGGCCCGTCCGTCAAGAGGCATGGCTTGCCGCTTCCTGGTAGCTGACACATTGAGGTAAGATGGAATCGTGAGGTTTGTAATGCCTGTTGACGTGTCGTTGTTTGTGGTGTTTAATCGTCTTCGGGTGGACCCAACAGTTAGCTGGGACCCAGTGGCTGAAGCTGTCGTGGGCAACCAGAGATAGCATGATGCAAGGCTAAGGGGGTAAAGGTCTCGCAAATTGTACGCCTCCGCGCTGAGTGTTGTATTATGCTGTACTGTTAGAGAACCTCCGATCGCACTGATACCATCGCATTGCAAGCGCAGGTGCCACCAACTCCATAGCATCCAAGTTCATGCATTGCTGCCGACGTCGTCCATGATTTTCTGCACGCATCCAGATCCCGTGACCGATAGTTCGCATAGTAGGGCCATCGAACCGTCGCGCACTCGTCCTTGCTACCGCGATCCTTCCTTTTTCTGCCCACCAACGCGGTGCCAGCCCTCGTATAAGTGCAGAATATCGAAGAGATTCACCTTGCCTACAACACCACGCACCTCTGTTGCCCCACAAACGTTCGTTGCATTCTCTTCTGGACAATTCTCGCCGTCGTTGCCGGCCGTGTCGTTACTTCGCCACAAGTTCGTTTTGAAAAATATTCCGACAGATCGTCTCTTCAGCACTGATCGTATTGTACTAGCATGTCTTGGAGTACGCTGGCACCAAACGGGGTGTTCTATCAAAACCCAGATGCGAACTTGTGGAGGGACCCTGACGCACCGTGTAGCTGGGTTGTGCATTGGCCAGCGACATGTCAGGACGGAGGCTCCTCCGACCAGGTCATGCACCTGAGACCAGCAAACGTTACGGCAGCAATGCCACACCAGGTCAGTGACATAACAAGAGCCGTAACATCGTCTGATCTCACCTTTCTTCCTACAACAGCCAATTGGAACAGATGATATCGACATTCAGGCGGTCGAGCACGGGGCCAGCGGGGCAGCCTGCGCACCCGACAATATCGTATGGAACGACGAAGAGATCGTCGAGACATCGACAGCTGTCGATGAGGCCGAGTCCATGGTTGGAGGTACCCTGTGGGGGGCGACGGACCCCTTGGCGTGGCAGGACGACGAGATTTTCGAAACTTCTACGACCATCGAAGAGGCCGAACACATCATTGGCGGCACGATCCGCAGGGCTTATGGGTCCAGGATGCCCAGTGCCCACCAACGTACAGACTCTGGGAGTACCCAGAGCTCGGCAACCCTCGCGAGCATCCCGGATGCTAGCGTGCGAGTGAGGACTTGGGCAGAGGTGGTCAGAGCCACGCCCCGAAACCAGACTGGAGGCAGGAAGTAGGCGAGCTTCTCCGCGTAGCCGGTAAGTCGAAGTCTTTGTATATGCGATGAATGGCGCGCATTGACGGGCTGCTCCTTTTCAGGGCGTGCGGTCGACCTAGGCATCCAGTGAAGTACGAGTTAGGGTTGTCGCGGAGGCAAGGGTGTGGCACAGTGCAAGGCGGATCGGAAACGGTGGAAAAAAAGGATGCTCGGCGAACGGCTCGAGCGATGTATCGTCTTGTATTCGCATTTCTGCTTCTATACCATTTCTTTCTTCTTGCAAGCGAGTGCGACGCCACGACCAATGAAATCGACGCCAGCGCCCGGGTCCGACTGCCCACACGCAGATCCACGGGATTATGGGTTCATCTGTAGATGCGAGGGGACTCGATTTATACCACATTCGACTGCGCACCCTGTTCAACCATCCAGACGACGCAGGCCCCGATACGCAGACGCAACGCGTCGTGTCCCCGTGACCAACGCGTCGCGCCTCAGCAGCGCGTAGACGCCCACATCGACATGAGACCGCTGCTTGTGCCCGTCCTTCCTCTATCGCTGCCGGAGGCTATCAATTGCAAGCATCCCCGAGAAGACAAAAGACGTCACCTAATCCGGGATCTGACGCCGCACAGTACACCTCGGAAGGTGGTGTGGCATCGCTCGTGGGATGGACGCCTCGTCTTGTCGCGACCAAGGTGCGTGTTTAGCTGCCTCGTAGCTCATCAACGTTGATTGTCAGGTCCGGAACACGTTGAAATTAATTGCTATGGCAAGCCTTGTGATCATAGTGGTCAAACAGCTCCTGTGCGAGGAAATCCGCTCGGACTGGAGCCGTTCTTCGCGTGTAGTTGTCTCTTGAGGAGAGGTAATGCCGGAGCTCTGGTGATAGGTAAGTGGTGCTTCAAATGAAATGCAGGCAGTGTGATCGCTCACGTTGTGCACTATCACGGTCACACGACGCGGTCGGCGCCCTCGCACTGCAGGTGTGGCCTCGGTCGAAGACTGGAGGGCAAGGCGAAACAACGGTACGCGCACAAATGGAGAACTAACTCTGACTCTAGGTGAGTCTATGCCGATGTACAGAGTCATATAGAATGAGACTTACCAACGGCAGTCGAAGCATAGTGATCTCGGTGTCCGTCGCCAGCCTGACCATCCGTCCTCCGTTCAACAGCTGTACTTAGAGTACGAAGGCCTGTTCCATCGGACGAGCTTGCGCACCTGCACTCGAAGAGATGCGAAGCATGAGCAAAAATAGTACAGAAATCAAAATAGGGAATGACCCTTGCTTCTCTATTGACCTTCGCTTTCGACCATCAATTGTCTCGCCAACCTTCTCCACTCCGTGTTCATTCACCATAGGGTTATCTGTTCATTCCGGTAATATCAGATAGCCACATCCACCCTAGCACGCCCGGCGGGTTTCCGTTCTGTGAAAGAGCGGCACTGCGAGAATTCATGGCCTGAACACCATGAGACAAAGACGCCGCTGGATGAGCAATGGCTCACAGCATAGCGAGTCTATGAATACGACGAGGGACCGCTATCATGACAAGCTGACCGTACTGCGTTCATTACGCCCCATGTCCGATACACGTCGTACACGTCGTTCCTATAATTTATTCAGCTTGTCAGCAATATCCGAGGACCGAGACGACAAAGGCTGAGCTCACCCGATCTCGTGATTGCTAACGGCGCGTAAGCGCCTGCACCCTCTCTCAGTCTCCTCGCCACCACATTCTTCTCTGCGCATACCAGCATCGTCCAGTGGGACAGAGATCTCGGGCTGTAAGAACCATCCTCAGCCATACAACAGCTACTTGAGACCTCACCGCCTCATCATATCCTAGTTTGAACACCTCCAAATCGCGATTGTCGTCAGCGTGCCCTCGCCACTGAGTAAGTCTCGACGCGATAGTCCCGAGATCGCCAGCCACTGCTGAACAAACATAGACGAGTCATTTCACAATGAACACATCGGATGAATCGTGTTTCATATTCTGTCGCGGAGAACAAGACCCAGAAGCAGCACTACACTTGGACGCACCACGAAGCCCTAGTGTAGTCGTATACAACAAGGACGACTCCTCCGACGCTGCGGCAGGCCTGAGAACAGATTTCGAAACGGCAACAAAGCCACAAAAGGTCAGTTGGCGCATGCATGATACCGTTACAAGATCTGTTCTCACCTGAGGTCGCATGCCAGCCCATCATGACTGAGCAGGACAGCTTTGCGACTCGTTATTGGGCAATTCGAGGCGCACTTCGTCTCGTGTCGGACGGCGTGCCTTCGCCTTTGGAGATTCTGGATGAAATGGGGCATCTCGAGCGTGAGTTCCCTCAAGAGGTCTACGTAATGGAGGCCAACATCCACGCGATGGGCTACGAAGAGGTGAGCCCGTGCAGTTATCCAATGCAACGATGCTTACCCGAGATACACCGTGGCAGATCATCGCGGGCGAAGACGTGCAGACGGATGGTGAGCTATTATCCATATCGATCAGAGTGAGTGGCTGAAATGATCGTAGGCGAAGACGCAGGCACTGTTGGACATGGTGCTCATCACCGCACAACGTCTGGCAGTACGACAAGCTCTGCCAGCTTGGAAAGCATTCCAAGGTGGGAGGGCGAACAGGCAACCGTGAGGCTGGTCCACTGTCGAGGATCCAGGCAGGAACCAGGACCCGCCGTGTATTAGCTGTCAGTCGCCGGGGATGGAGCACTTCGTGCGCTAGGTTTGGTAGGTCATAACAAAGGCATCAACCAGTAGCGCAAATTGACATCCTTGGTTTGAACAAAGCGCACAGGCCTCCTCACAAACCCTCAAAGGCAAGGAGGGGCGACAGTCGGTGTGGGCCGGGGTGTCGAGCGGGGTACAATGCAGAGACTGTTAGGAACTGATGAACAATACGGAAATGGAAGTATAATGGATGAATGGCGGATAGCGTTGCACTAGGGGTGGGGCTTCGAATTTTGCAATTTGACTCCAAGTGTGAATAAGACACCGCACCTGTGAATGTGAGAATCGTAGAGCCGCACCTCCCGGACAGTCAGAATCATATCAAAGGAGGTTTGATTTGAACTCGCGTCTCGGCAGGCCTTCGACCTTGCAGGAAGCCCCTCCGCGCTCCTGGTGCATTCAGACCCCGTGACCCGCGTACGAGGACGTGAGCGCCCGTGTGGCTATCGCACATTTCTGCTCGTCGTTGTCGTCGTCGTCTGCTCCCTGCACACACCTCCACCATCAGCATTCATCCGAGAGCAGGTAACTGAAGTAAGAGCCTCTCACCGTCCGACCCATACTTCCGTGGTACTTGCAGCCTCTTGCGTCGTTCTGTACTCTGCACTTGTCGTGTTTCTCGTTGCGTCGCTCCTCGCTGTAGCGTAAGTCTCGACGCGACTACCTTCGTGTGATCGCCCGATCCCTGATCAGTTCCGTCATAGTACGATTGCCAGCATGTTCGCCCCAAACGGGATGTACTTTCGAGACCTGAACAAGGACATATGGAGACGCGGGGCGCAGAGCGATTGGAATGCGGTGTGGGAGCGCGACGACACACCCACGCACGGAGGGAGAACCACTCTCAGCAACAACATGCACCTGAGAGCGAATGTTAAAACGGCAGCGACACGACTCCAGGTCAGTGACACGAGCACGAAACCGTTACAACACTCGATCTCACCTGTCTTTGCAAATCCCAGCCGATTCCAGAGGAGCATGCCATAACACATGTCCACACCGCTATGCCAGCCAACGATCGGCAGCCAGTCTGGACTCAGCTGGATTGTTTCCAGAGTTATCTGGACATG